CAAGACTATATCTCTAGAGATCTATTTTTTTTTTACAATTTTAGAAAGAAAGGGGAAAGGTATATAAGAATGATATATGCTTTTCATCTGTAGTTACTAACCGATATCGTATATATCAAATTTGGTGTATTTATGCCATATAATCTTCGAGTTATGCTTAAGAAACTCTGTCTCAAAATCGATATTTATAATTATTCATAATATAGGAGGAGGTACCGATATAATGATAGCCCCTGCTCTGCATATTTTAAGCTACATAACATATATTTAAAGTTTAAAGTCTCAAAGTTTCCCATGTTAACTGTAGTATGATATAATTAAGAGCCGGCCAGTCGACTTTAATATATTATATACGTAGTAGCTAGTGGAATATAAATACCTTGACTCGCAGATATTTCCTTCAATGTCTGCCCTATTTCGTTGACAGCTGCATAATACCCTCTGCAAGGGTATAATGATAGAATATCATGAGGCGGCAATAATAAATCATTATTGAGGGTCAATGCTTGCGAAATAATAATAATAATATTTAAGTAAATTCCGTTTTCAATTGATGGCAAATTGCATAGTTATTGGAAAAATGGGGGAAAACGAGCCAATTGATCGTGTCAACGCGACATTGCACTTGACTGCAACAAGATGATTTTTACCCTGGCATCTAGTATAATAATCGTACGATGTTGGTCGCTTTATCTACTGTGCCGACGCGTCTGTAATGAGAGCGTGCTGTAACAATTGTTATTGCTATCAGCAGCTACTTTGCGGCTTTTGCGCCCAATTAAAATGTTCGCTTATCTTTGGCGCTGATAGCCTACCAAAAAAAAAAAAAAAGGAAAGGTAAAGCAAAGACATCTGGTTGTTTATTTAACTCTTATTTTAAATACAATTAGCACGTGGTATCTTATTTAGCATGGCGCTAAGTGCACTGGATCTATCCAGTTAAAAGTCCAAATAACTCACAAACGCAATATTTAACGATCGCTGGCCAAAATTCCAACAATCTGTTTAACATTTAAATTGATTGCCAATTAACAGTGGAAATTAACTGAAAGAGAGAGGCGTGTAGTAAAAATTGGACTAGCACAAAGGCAAGATCATTTATCGAAGGGAAATTGGAAACTTGAGGCAGTTAATAGTAAAAGTATTTCATATATAGTTTTAAAATATTTTATGATCTAACTAAGCTGATCGGAAGGAAAAGATTTCCTCAAAGTCACGCTTCCCAAAGCTGCAAGATCCATATAGTATGTTGGGGCTAGGATTAGGGTTAAGGTTAGGGTTTAAACTGCTTGAGAATTTTAGGCAGCAATGCAATTTAATGAAGAAGGGAAATAGTTAGATAGATAGCAAACCAAATATAAACTCAAATAACTTTTAATATAAACATGTTAATTTCCTATTCTTAAGTTCATGACCTTTTCGGAAAATCAAACTTAAGATTACAATTGATTGAGAAAACAATACTCATTTTCATAACTAAAGCTCTTAAGTTTTAGTTTTGGCTTGAGAACTGTCGAAAGTTTTTAAGTTTTGTTTGATAGTTCTTTTGAGTTGTTTCTAAAGTTCTTAAGTTTCCTTTGATAGTTCTTTGCCAGCCTTATAGATAGGGTCGTACCATATAGATAGATAATATATGATAATATATATAAAATATCATAAAAGGCTTCAAACCAAGTCTTAACTGGTAAAGATAATGGGTCTTCCGCTTATTTTTAATACATAGAGCTCTATGATATACAGAGATCTTTGATATACAGATATCTCTAATGTCATACACAGAATTCTCTTATATCTAAGTTCCGCACATCATAAGCTCCTACTGCTGGCTTTCGGACCGTAAATGATATGGCGCCAATTCCCAATCACGGGCTGAGCGAGAGATTTAATTCTTGGACTATGCGTGATTTTAGCACATTTTCTTATTGTCTGCCAGGCTTTTGGCTGTGCTCTGGACAAACAGCTGCCGTTTAATGTGCGAGTTTTCATGCTAAGTGAATTCACTGGATATTAACCAGTTTCCGTTGGTTATTGCGGCAGGTCGGTCGCTTAATACGGCCCGATAAGCTGCTCGATTAGGATAGGTTAGGTTGGAAGCGTTAATCAGCCTATTTAAACAGAGCACGGAATCGACGAATATCGAGAGAAAGAATCCTGTGCGATAAGTTAGAGCTGCTTAACAATTTTGGAAGGAACTTAGAAGTTCTGCTGCTCGATTTCTGCTGGCAGGTAAGCTTTTCGCTCCTGGAGAGAAAATTCGTAGAAAATTCTTTATATTTATTTTTTATTATACCCTGAACCCATTAAAAATGGGTATAAGGGTATATTGTTTTTGTGTGAAAGCCAAATGTATGTAACAGACAGAAGGAAGCATCTCCGACGCCATAAAGTATATATATTCTTGATCAGCATCAATAGCCGAGTCGACCTAGCCATGTCCGTCTGTCCGTCCGTCCGTCTGTCCGTATGTATGAACGCAAGGATCTCAGAACCTATAAGAGCTAGAGATGTAGCTGCTCCTAGTGCCCGCGCAGATCGAGTTTGTTTCCGATAATCGATAACTTACTCCGTTTCCAAGCAATCGATAAAAATCGATATCGATATCCTGTTTTTCGACCAATTTTGGTAAATAATAAGAGCTAGAGTCACCAAACTTGACATATAGCTTCTAAAATAGAATATATATATGCATTTGAGGTTGGAAGAAGAGGGTTCAGGGTATGCCCTAGTCGGGAGCTCCCGACTAGAACCTCTTACTTGTTTTACATTTATTTCTATAAAATTTGTTTCTTACAAATTTCGACGTCAAATAGGTTTTAAATAATTATAACTTATGCTTGACTTTATGCAAGAGCTTGCATTTTCTAGTGCTTAATAAAAGTACACAACTTATTAAATTGAGTTTTGCACTCAAGTTTTCCAACTTAAAATGTAATTGTTCTTAAAAATAGTGAAACTTGAGAAGGTACAAGAAATTGCCATCTTGTTGACAACTTTTGTATCCATTTTGAGATCGCAGTTCTTTTGAAGTTCTTCGAACGTGTTTACTTGGTTACTTCGTAGAATTTTCACGAACTTGATTTTGTCGGAATTTCAATTACTTTCTGCATATTCGATTTCCTACTTGTTGGCCGCATTTATTTCGCAGGAACTCTATTCCTTTAATATCTCAGGAAATACGTGCCTTCGCCTGATAGAAAGTGCGTCAATTTTTTCCGGCAATTCTTTGTTTTTGGCCAAACCCAAATTTGACGCCTCAATTTAATGCCTAGATATTATTATGCTCTATGTACTTGCTGCTCCTAGTTGTTCTTTGGCAAACCCCGTTTAATGTTTTGTTTAATTTTCTACTTACAGACACTCGGCAAATTGTGCTCAAATACGGACGGCAAAAGACAACACACAAAGTAAACTCGCACCTAGCGTATATTATGCCCGCTAAAATCAATAACTCAGCCGTGTACCGAGTCGCAGTCGCAGCTAATATAAACAACCCAAGTCAACAAGAGCCCGCAGCATGAGCATGGTGAGCCGGACGGAAAAGGATTACGACAGCGCCACGCCGGCGCTGCAACAACAAATGAACCTCGCACGGCGCGCCTGCTGGAGCAGCTGCCCGACCAGACCCAGCTCCAGCTCCAGTTCAAGTCCAGGTGCCCTTGATGCTATAGAAATTCAATTGCCCGTGGCAACAGCTTGTCAGCCGGCTAAGCCAATGAGTCCTAATCAAAGAACAACAACAACCCAATCTCCACCGAGCAAACGTCCAAGATTCAGTACGGGCGGCAGCTGGCAGCGGCAACTGTTGCTGCTGCTGTGCGGCATTTGCATTTTGCTGACCAGCATCGAGGCACGTCCCAATGTTAGCGCCTCCAGCAGCAGCTCCAGCTCCGGCTCCACCTCCAGTTCTGCCTCCAGCGACAAGCCAGCGGATGCCGTCACGCAGCTAAACGTAAGTATGGAAATTTAATTACGATCTTCTGCTGTGGGTTAGCTGAAAAATTAGATAAGTAAGAGCTGGAAATGTAATTACGATCAGCTCATCAGCGGCAGACGAGCTCTCATTTCCGTCTTTCTCTCTCTACATTTTTGTTAAGCTTAGCTGAAAAATTATCTGAATAGGAGATAAATAAACCAATATAGTTATATTCTTGAGCATAAGTATTTGTACAATTGATTGTCAAGTTGAAGCCCTGAAAAGTTCATACAGATCGGACTATAAGGACCGAAGTTAGTCTGGAATGCATTTCCCATAGATAGTGTGGGGTTAGGTAAAGAAGAAGAAGCACAGTCACTCGTGCTTGTGTTGTGTATTGTGTATATATATTACATACATATTTATAAAGATACATACATATATATACTACATATTCATAAAGGCAGCTCGAGGCAAGTTTCAACGCATTCTTTTTTAATTTTTATTATTCAAGAGCCGAGTGCGAGCTATTTCCTATTTTCCTTTATCCCCACAAAGTGCTTTTCAACTAATTGCATTCTTGTTCTAGGTGGATTAAAAATACCTAAACAAGTATTTAGTTTTCCTTTACTAAGCTCGCAAAGTGTGCAGCGTTTTTCAACACCAGAATTGAAATTGTTTGCGATACACTTCTTCATAATTTCCTTTTCTGAATTTGAGTAAAATGCATGCAAAATAGTTTCTGGCTAAGCTGAAAGCTATTATAGCTACCCATTGAGCCTTCCATTCTTAAGCTGTTGAAGATTATCACGTTTTTCAACACTATTGTACAAATTTCTTGGGATTTGCTTCATTGGAATTTCCTTCTATCATGTTGACTAAAATGCATGTAAAATAATTTTAGGCTAAACTGAAAGCTTCTTAGGTAGCTATGAATGCCAGCTATCCATTGAGCCTTCCATTCCTAAGCTGTAAATAAATGCAGCGTTTTTCAACACTAAAATACAAATTGCTTGCGATTCATTTTATCATAATTTCCTTATATTATACAAACTGTATGCAAAAAATAAACCTAGGCATAACTTAATGCTCTTGGTCCTATGCTAAAAATGGCAGCGTTTTCCAACACTATTGTGTGCGAATTAATTCAAAATAAGCAGTGCTATAAAATACATGATTACTTAATTCCGTTAAGAGGTACAAAAAGGCTTTCTTAGATTAGTTAATGCTTGGAGCATATTTTGGATTAGAAAAGTATTTTTTGCAAATCGACAACTTGACAACACTGGTTTTGTGCCTCCAGGAAGTGTCAGGGCTCGGACTGACATTCAACTGTCGTTAAGTTTTAGCCATTTCGATTCGAACACAGCACAGCAAAATTGCCTCTAATTATGGCAATTGGCCAGGCCAGAAGCTCAACAAAAGTTAGAAATGTCGCTTGTCATGAGTTATTACCAAAAGTTTCAGCTAACGCCAACTGTTGACCGAATCGCACATCCATCAGCCAAAGTGTTTAGACAGTTGGCAGAAAAGATATACGTAATATTTACTATGACTGTAATTGGAGCAGGTTTACTCTATGAGGCAGTTCCAAGATAAATATGTATATTAAGATAGTGAAATAGCGAGAGAATTGTAGTCAAAAGGTTATCTATCCTAAATAGTTGCGAATAGTTGGGGAATTATTTAGAAATGTAGCTGGAAATATTTGCCATGTTAGCGGAAATAGTTGTTTAGATACAACAAAATATAATACAATACAAATCTTTTCCAAAATCTGAACTTTAGCTGCCTCAGACGACATCGTCGCCAGCATCAACAGCTGCGTCTCCGGCTCTGCCCAAAGCCGAACCGCTGACAGGTGATGCAAAGATTGAGAAGGATTTGTTCGATGTGTCGCTCGACGATGAGACGGACGAGGCACATCATCACACGGAACGTTATCCGCTCTCCCAGGTGGACTTTGCGCGGGTCAAGACGCCGTTCATAATTGGCATTTGGATACTTTCGGCGAGCATAGCCAAAATCGGTGCGTATATGTCAATATATGTAAAGTATATATGCACATGCATTCCTTTTATTATTTATTTGCGTGTGCTGTCTCCGGCTCGCCGGTTGCCAGGCGGGCAAAATCAATATGTTTATATAACGTCGTCCTGGTTGTGCGTCCTGTCTGTGTGCTTAGGTGTGCAGCTGAAGGACATTGCATAAGAGTCAGCCAAGTGGCGCAACAAGCGCAGCCCAAAAGGCCTTGACACTGGCCCCTAAAAAGCAGCAGCCACCACCCCCGAGAAGGCCAGGCCCAAAACCCCGGGCGCAACAATTTGCCAGATTGCATAAACGATTTGGCTGCAATCTCAATTTTGACTGGCACCTGCTTCCATTTTTTTTTTCTCAACTCTTGACTTTGCTATCTTGTTGGCCCGCTCTTTTAGCCGGCTCGTGGCTTGCACAAAAATCCATTTGCTGAAGGCCAACTGCTTCACTTATTGGTTCATTACAAAGGAACCCCCTTTTCTCTCTCTCTCTCTCTCTCTCTCTGCCAACTGCCTCAAGCGAGCAAAACAACTTACATAATTATCGGGGCCACTTTTTTCAGCTGTGCAAACATTTTGCTAGCATTGATAGTTTTATAGATTATGCGCACTCTGTTAACTTCCATTGTTAACTAATTTTCATAAAAACGACCATCGATTTTGTATTCAATTCTGATTCGTCTTTAATTTCCTCTATTTATTTTTAGATTTTCAAAAATTAATTATAATAATTATGATTATATTCTTTTAATATATATTTATATATGGAAATATATATATGGAATATATAAATAAACTACTTAGCAATAAATAAAGTTAGGATTCCATACAAATCTTATAATCGTGAGCTTATATGGAACAAAACATATAATAATGCAAGTATTTTGTACGCATAAAAGTATTATATATGAATGTGTTTGTGTGTGTGTGTGTGGGTGTATGTGGGCGTGTGTGTGTTACTGCATGCATGCATTTCTGTATATATGTATGCATGCATGTTTGTTTTCTAATACCAAACGCAGACCATGCGTATTTGTCGCTGTTCTGCAAATTTAAGTAAAACGAATTTTTACCGAGTGCTCTTCTCCTCGATTCTCAAAAATCCAAGTAGGCTCTGCTAGTTTTTCATGCTTGGCCAGTGAGGTAGTGCTTTTTTATTTTTACATTTTTGTCGTTTTCATTGTGTTTGCAACGATGAATGTATGTATTTATGTATGTATGCTCGTTTGTATGTTTGTATGTATGTATGTCTGCAACATGCATACATATATATACAAAAATGCATACATGTATTTGCTGACATGCACACAAACATACAAACGTGCATAAATGTATATGCTGTCATGTACACAAACATACAAACATGCATACATGTATATGCTGACATGCACACAAACATCTATGTATGCATGCATGCATATATGTGTATGTATGTACACATGCATGTATATACATAGGTGTGTGTGCCTGTATGTAGGTATCCGGGCATGTATTCATACATGTACGCATGCATGCATGTTTGCATATATACCAAAAAAACATGCATGTATGTAGGCACAAACAGGCATACATACATATGCAAACTTAGAACTCCGTCCAAAAATCCACTTTTTACTAAATATAATTTTTATTTGGAATACTTTTATTATGTTAGAAACTTATTTAAGAACTTTGGACGCGAGTCAATAAAAATGTAGTTTCAAAAACAATTTACCGCACATTATCGTATATATTTGTAAAGTGTCGTGTCTCAGCATAAAGTGTTTTATTTGTGTACCCATATTTGGCCCCATCAAAGAAATTGACCCAAATTCAAGAATCAGCCATAATCGTTGAGCAGCTCCATTGGGGAAGGGTGTCTGGCGGTGCGGAGAGCATAACCACATTTCCATGTAAATGTGCCATTGTTGGAATGGAAATTGTTTTTCTCGTGTCGGTTTTTATAGGCACTCGGCAAATATGAAAAGAGAAAACAAACCTTTTGTGCAATTTTAGTAAATGTATTTGTACGCCACGCCCCATGACGCCCACATAGATACATATGCAAATTTGTGGCAATTGTGAGTCGGTTTTTGTGTGTGCTTTGTTTTGCTTAATTTAAATTTGTTTGCATTTCACAGGTTTTCACATGACGCCCAAATTGCATCTAATATTTCCGGAATCCTGTCTACTTATCGTGGTGGGCGTGGCCATAGGCGTTGTGCTCTATTTCTGCACAGATGTTGCCGTCTCGCCGCTAACACCGAACACCTTCTTCTTCTACATGCTGCCGCCGATAATATTGGACGCCGGCTACTTTATGCCGAATCGCATGTTCTTTGATAATCTGGGCACCATCCTGCTGATGGCCGTGGTTGGCACCATCTTCAATGTGGCCACAATTGGTGAGTATTCCATTAAATTGATTATTTTAATGGTGCGTCATCGCACACGTCGCCAACGAGCGGAACATGGCCCAAACGAAGAGTAGAAGCCAAAGTGGGGCACAACTTGATGCTCGTGTGGTTCGCATTCATCCATCAAGTGGCCCAATGACAGCGCAGTTTCCCCAATGTCAATAGACCTTAAAGTAAAGTAAAAAGCTTTATCGGGGGATTCTTTCACTTTTCACAGTCTGCTAGTTTTATGCGCCCAAACTTGAGAGTAGTATTGCATTTTGATCAGCAACAACCTTATTTCAGTTCTAGCTTAAACCTTTTGGGAATTATAAACGGATTCTATATTTGGAGTATACTGAATATCTTGTTGGACCTCCCAATAGAGTTTTGATTTCTTATTCAAAGTTCTATACAAAATTAATATTGGATTTAATCTTGAAAAGAATTCGAATTATTTCTTCTTTATAATAAAAACCACTTTTCTCAACTTTCATTTAATGTCTTCTCTATAATAATAATAATATAAGAGCAGTGAAAACTCCCTATAAAACAATTACTATTATTATTATTAGAAATTATTTTCATCGGAACAGGATTCGAACCTTATTTCAATATGAACAGTCCCCATTACTTCAGACAGCTAACGTGTAAACCGTTTGGGAATTATAAATAAATTATTGCTTTAAGCCATTAGAGCTTCAATTTTAAAGATATATATTTTATTTAATATTAAATCCTTTTCAAGACCTTACTGACCTTGAACATGACTCATCCTCACATACATAACATACATCACATTCTCGTGAGCACAATAAATGTTCGAAAATAGTTACTGAAACCGAGTCATATATTATGTTAATGCATTTCCCTCCCCCCAAGCTGTCGACATTTCAATTGCGATTTTCGCACGCTGACAAAGTAAACAAATTTACTGGAAATACATATATCTGTAGCATTGCTTAGGACTGATTACAATGGCGACGCGCTTGTTACACACATCAAAATTTGTGGCACGCGAACAACGAACAATGTTGTCCAAGGGCAGGGTAACATGCGCCTGGAGAGCAGCAGGGTCAGGGGCACGGGCAGGGGCCAAACGGCGAGGGGAAACAGTTGTAGATGACCGCTTAGACGTGATTTATACAAAATGTAACAAAACATGCGATTGATGTGGATGTATGGGGATATACATCTAATGGAATGGAAATGGTGGGGAGGGCTTCCTCTAATGATGAAGGCACGAGGCATTACGCTTGGCTGGCGCACATCTGCCCGAAATAAAAACAATCAAAAGTGATTTTTATGAAATACAAACAAATATCTATAGATCTGAGAGATTTTTTATTACAGCTAATGTTTGTCAAATGTTGGGGAAGTCAATTTCGATGCACACACACACAACTGCTTAAATATTTGTTTGGGAAATTATTAATTCAGACCTGGGCGTAAAAATTGTTTTTAATTTCAGATTTAATAACGAATGCGATTTATATGCTTATTTATGTAACTTTCCAGATTGGCATATATATGTATGAAGGCATAAACATTGTCTGAGTTCTAGTTCAAAGCAATATTATTATAATTACAAATGAGTTACATTTATTTATGTGGCCTTGAATAATGGGAAAGTAAACCTCAGAGGCGAACTGGATTTTTATTTCAAGTTAGGCTTTAATTTAGGTTAGGCTACAATCGAATTGAAACGCAGACTTGAAATGTTGTGTCTGTTAAGGTGTATAGTTCACAGTACAGTTGGCACTCGCATTTTAGAATGTTTCTACTACTACTACCATCACTACTACTACTTTTAATGCTGCTACTACTACTACTATTCCCACTACTACTTCTACTACTTTTATAACCAGTTAGACTCATAGTACTGTACTTAGTACATTTATTAATACTGAAATTACTACCACTACACTTCCTACTTCTACTACTACCACTTCTACTCCTTCTTCTACTACCACTACTACTACTATTTTTACTCCCACTTCTACTTCTACTACTTCTTCTACTACTACTACTACGTTTACTCCTACTTTTTCTACTACTACTACTACTCCGTTTACTCCTACTTCTACTACTACTACTACTACTACGTTTACTCCTACTTCTACTACCACCACTACTACTACCACTACTACTACTACTTTTACTCCTACTTCGTCTACTACTACTTCTACAACTACTACTACTACTACTACTACTACTACTACTACTACTACTACTACCACTACTACTTCTACTACAAATACTGCTACTACTATTACTACTAATACTATCAATATTGCTACTTATACTACTACTACTAGCCTGGAACTAAAATTATTTATAAATGGAATTAGTTTTATAAAGAAAAGCCTCACCCAGAACTGAAAATCAATTAAGACACTTCATTTGAGCAGATGCAATTAAAAAGCCTTTAAGCAAGTCAGTGCAATTAACTGTGAACAAGCCCGCTGCAATTGACAGCGCAATTAATTGAAAAGCAGAAAGTTGAGATTTATCGAGTCCTTGGATTGCAGGTGGCTCCCTTTACGCGTGCGGGCTGTGCGGCGTCTTTGGCGATGAGACGCCCAAGTTGTTGGACGTCTTTCTGTTTGCCTCGCTAATATCCGCCGTCGACCCGGTGGCTGTGCTTGCCGTATTCGAGGAAATACACGTCAACGAGATCCTCTACATTGTCGTCTTTGGCGAGTCTCTGCTTAACGATGCCGTCACGGTAAGTACAACTACTTTATTTTTTTCATTGGGTAATTCGCAGAAAGTTTCACAAGCCCATCAAATCATGCGGCTTGTGGCTTGATTGAGTGTTAATCGAGGTGCAATTACTAATTGCCTGTTGCATGCCTGCAGGTTGTCATGTATCACATGATGGAGGTCTATAATGAGATCGGATTGCCCAACATTATGGCGCAGGACATTGCCAGCGGCGTGGGCTCGTTTTTTGTTGTGGCCCTGGGCGGAACTGCCATAGGTAAGTTCTATATATAATCTATATAAATCAGAAATGCACAATATACATAATTAAAATATAGAACAAAGACATATCCGAGCACACAGATGAGTCAGTTTCCTATACGTCAAATTGATTTATTTCACGCATTCAGAAATGTGCTGTATTGATTTAATTACAACGTCAGTTCAGATTTTCTTAATTAATATAAATTTATATTTAACAAAAAAAAAATGTAACAAAAAAACGTTTCATTTAATAAGATTTTTGCTGGGCATTGAACCGGGGACTCTTTGTTTTTCATGCAGCCGCCCTGCCACTAGGCTACTCTTAAGCCAAAACTCTATCGAAATTTTATAAGCCTTTAAATAAAAATAACGAAAAAAATAGCGATATAAATGCATAGAGATCACTTTCATAATTAACCACGGAGATATTTACATATATATAGATATTTTTGCATATAAATATTTAATACATATCACTTGCATGTTACAGGCATTATTTGGGGCTTCCTGACGGGTCTGCTAACACGTTTTACGGATCATGTGCGTGTCATAGAGCCCATATTTATATTTGTTATGGCCTATCTGGCATATCTGAATGCGGAAATCTTTCACATGAGCGGCATTCTGGCGTGAGTATGATCTATGGCAACAAATAGCAACATTATCATAACCAAATATTTGTCCTCTACTTCTTGGCTATCTGCAGCATTACTTTTTGCGGCATTACGATGAAGAACTATGTTGAGTCGAATATATCGCAAAAGTCGCATACAACTGTTAAATATGCATTGAAAATGTTATCCAGTTCGGCGGAGACAATTATATTTATGTTCCTAGGCGTGGCCACTGTCAACAATATGCACGTATGGAATACGTGGTTTGTGATCTTAACCATTGCCTTCTGCTCCATATTTCGTGTTATCGGTGTGTATATTCAAGCTAGCTCCACATTTGACTGTTTGACTGTGCTTTACTGCAACCTGTACAGGTGTCATTCTGCTGTCGGCCATTGCCAATCGTTTTCGACTGCACAAATTGTCGCGAGTGGATCAGTTTGTCATGTCGTACGGAGGGTTGCGTGGCGCTGTTGCCTTTGCCCTCGTCCTGCTCGTCGATGAGAATGTGGTCAAGCATAAGAATATGTATGTGACCACAACCATAGCTGTGATCTACTTTACGGTGTTTGTGCAAGGCATCACCATAAAGCCACTTGTCAAGATTCTTAACGTGAAGCGAGCCAACAAGCGGAAGCCCAGCATGAACGAGCGAATTCACGAGCGTGTAAGTTAAATACTGATTCTTAAAGCTAGCTAACAAACTTCACAACCACTTTTTCTAACTTAATCTGCATGTTAAATATTTACAAGGAAGATAAAAGCTAATAGATTCTGTAAATCTTAGCTGACAAAATTCACAACCACTTTCAAGAATTTTCTACTTTAATCTGCATGTTAAATATTGACAAGGAAGATAAAAGCTTATAAAATCTATAAATCTGACAAAATTCACATTGCAATGCAACTCTTACTGCTAACAAATTAACATGAGCTTTAACAGGCAGTTATCAGTCTTGCTTATTTATACAATGATTTTCTCAATTAAATCCTTTTAGTTTATGGATCACTTGATGGCTGGCATTGAGGATATTGTAGGCAAGACGGGCAACTACAATGTGCGTGATAAGTTCAAGCGTTTCGACAATCGCTTCATACGCCCCCTGCTGATCAGAGATCTAAAGGTACGTATCAGATTTCCAACTCACTTTTAATGCTTAACTTTTTCCCCTCCCAATGCTGCTCTCTATGCTTTACAGGGCGCCGAACCCAAAATTATTGAGACCTACTCCAAGCTGACCATGCGGGATGCCATGGAGGTGATGCGTCGTAATCCGTCGACAATTGGCCAGATGACGGGCACCGAGTCGATGAGTGCATTGTTTAGGAATTATACCAATAATTATATTGGCGGCAGGTGGGCACCGCCAACCATATACACCACCTGGTAAACGAATTTTGGATAATCGATAATCGATAATCAATAATCGATAACAATAGCCGTACAATGCATGTATGCAAGAAATTTAAAACGAAATGTTGTAGTAATTTTTTTTGGCATGCAAAATTTAGCACAAAAATTAACATAATTACCGGATTGGCCCCCAATTTCTACACTCCAAAAATACTTCTCTCTTCTACACTTTTTATATATATATATATATGAACTTTTGCATATCTGAAATTCGTTTATCTGTAACTTTGTTTCAAACTTGGTAGTATCTCTATATATATATGGGAATATATTTTCGTTTAATTAATTTCCATGTGTCTACTCCATGCAAATAGTCCCAGCCTGACAAATCTGGACAACTCGTGCTCCCACAACCTGGACATGGCCGAGCTTGACTATAATCCATCCAAAAAGGATTTGACAGATGCCAAGATACATCATCTGCTAGCCGAAGAACTAAAGCCATATAGAAGGGTACGTATGCAGCTCGCAGTCGAGTCGAGAGCACCTTCAGCATAATAATCGATTTTGGTTTGGTTTTCTATAATATAGCAGTGACAGTTTTAACTACTACTACTACTATATATCTTATAGCATATTCTTACACACACACACGGCCCAAGTTTTTGAGTACCTATATGATATATATATCACAATTCCAATCCATATCACCGAAAATACTTGACGCCTCGTAGTCGTATTTGTATTTTATGCTTTCCACCTTAGTTTCCTTTTTGGGCATTTCGTTTTGAGACACGCTTCTCTCTCTCTCTCTCTCTCTTTCTCACTCTTTATATATATATCTCTTACTCACTCTCTCTATATAAATACATATATATGCTGACAATATCTATATAATTAGATATATTTGTAATTAATCGTTTCTTTGATTTCTTCCCGTTGTTACGAACTCAACTTCAACTTTAACTTCTCGTCAACGTCAAAAAAAAATATAATAATACCAAATATCTCGAAAACTACTTCAAATTTTTGTGTGCTTTGAAAATATTTTACGAAACTGTACAAAATATTCAAATATTTCGTAACGAAAAGGCTTCCATACAAATGGTACGAATAAATTGGTTCAACTGATTTAAGAATTTCTTGAATTTTTCATTTTATTTTTTTTTTCTTTTATTAAAAAACAAAAAATTAATTAATAATCAATTAAAATGATAAACATTTGCTTCTGTATATGTTACACGTTTTTGTGTGTCTGTACTAATGACTGCAAGACATTTTTGTAATGCATACAATTAATAACATTAATTATACTAATTAATTAACAGTTACAGTTTCTAGTCAATATCTTAATGTATAATTGGTGTCTATACAAAAAAAAAAAAAAAACAAAACAAATCGTATTGATAATCAACTTTTTTCTAAATGGCTAACAACTCTCACATAAATCAATGTATACTTAAATTCAATTTGATAAGAACTAAACTTCAGAACTCAAATTCATTTTTATTAGTTTTCTCAAAAACATTTCCATTCATTGTACATCAAACAAGCACAGAACATGTTTCTCTTAGGAAGATATACAATATATATATTCGTGATTTTTTCAGAATAGCGTTGCTTAAACTATAAATATTAATACATTTACAATGCTTCAAAAACGAATTATAATTGTTTGGGTATTTTTCTTTAATTTTTAAAAGTATTTCAAAGTAGTTTTTCGGGTAAAGTATTTTAAAGTAGTTTTTCGAGCTGGATAAACATATTTAAACTCAAGACTTGACTCAAAAATATTCAAAATAATTCTAAAAAAAATGTTAAGCTCTTATATATTCCATAACATATTCTCGAGTCGTAGGTTCATCTTCCATTAGAAATGTATTAGAGTAGTTTCGGATTTTATTATGCCCTTGCAGAGGGTATTCTAATTTTGTCGTGAAATGTGTAACGCATAGAAGGAGACATCCCCGACCCCATAAAGTATATATATTCTTGATCAGCATCAACAGCCGAGTCGATAGAGCCATGTCCGTCTGTCCGTCTGTCTGTTTCTATGCGAACTAGTCTCTCAGTTTTAAAGCTATCTTAATGAAACTTAGCAGAAGTCCCTCTTTCTGTTGCACGCAGCACATATGTCAAAATCGGACCACTATATCATATAGCTGCCATAGGAACGATCGATCGAAAATTAAGTTTTTGTTTGAAAAAATATTTTGTTTTTCAAGATATCTCGACCAAACTCGGCATTTATTAGTTTTACTATGCTACTCATATATATGCAAAATCCTATTCAGATCGGACTACTATATCATATAGCTGCCATAGGAACGATCGGTCGAAAACTAGGTTTTTGATTAAAAACCTTTTTAGTTTATCAAGATATCTTGACCAAACTCGGCATTAACTATTTTTCCTGTGCTTCTTAGATACGGGCAAAGCACTTTAAGCATTATGAAAAGGTTGGGTCTGCAAGGGTATTAGATCTTCGGCGTGCCGTAGATAGCCTTTCTTTCTCGTTTAAAATTGCGAAAGACCACAATTATATCAGGTTTAACACTTGACATCCAATTAAACTCGTTTGCAGCACAGCAAAACACATTTTTAAATAAGCACAACTTTTCATTTTTCTTTTTTTTCTGGACTGCCAATTTACTTTACTAATCTTCCTCCTTTGCTAGATCCTTTAAAGCACACACTGTTTAGCAACAAGAAAATATGTATATACCTAAATGTTGTGTTGCAATTTAAATCCTTTATCCAAAAATATACTCTTTTCAAAGTACAAGTCTGTTGCGGGACAAAAAATCGAAATGCATCCGTTTTTTTTTGCGCGTCGAACCAGCAAGCGAGAAGTCGCCGGCTCAAATTTAGCAAAAAATGTTCAGTTTCTCAAGTTGTTAAATAAATATGTGAATTATCACTAAAAAAGCAATAAAAATAGAAATGAATATTGGATATATTCTATATATACCTTATATTTTGGAAAGAGTATTCTCGCTGCGGCCAGGCCGAAGTGCGCCTCCATATGCTGTGCCCACAAGCACGCCCTTTAATAACAATCTATAAACTTAAATAAAATATTTAATCGTATTAAGAGCATATTATCTTAATGTATATGTAAGCTGTACAAATGTTGTGAGACGTCTTTATTCACCTAATCAATTGTTGTTTATGCTAGTTAGCAGCAAATTTACAATTAATACTGTATTACTTGTCAAATGAAATTGAAAAAAAGAAACACCATTTATGATATGGCATTTAATGTGCTTTCGTAATATTCCTTACAGCACCGTCGTCTTAGTTATAGCCGACACGCAGTAGATGACAGAGATTTGTCCACACAGGTGAGTCGAACACATTGACAAATCTCTGAGAGCACCTCAAACCCTGTGGAAATCAAATAATATTCTATTGAAAAAAACATTTGTGTGTTTCATTTTAGGTCAATTATAAAATGCAAATGAATTTCCGTCGCATGTTCAACGATCGGAAACATCACAAGCGCAGCAAACGTGGCGCCAGCAACAAGGTAAGCGAATGCCCCCAATATATATATATATATATATCTAATATATCTGTTAATATTCACTTTTAGGAGCCCAAAGAGAATGTTAAACAGAATCATGTCTCGTTCCATGATTTCCAACAGAACGGCACCACCAAGCAGCTCTCCAATGGTACGAATACGAATTCGAGTTCAAACCATTCACGCAAAAAATCTTACAGAAAAAGACATACTCACAATTCACTTAACAAATATCGTAGATTAGACATAGGTAAATGCCACTAAAAAAAAAAATGACTATTTACAGCAATTAAATAATTTATTCGAAAAATAACTACTCCCAATGTAGTTGTAGCTGTAGCTATTCCTAAAAATCCTAATTTTTTAGTTCCATTATAGACAACATCCCAGATGTGTAATCTGAGCTTTTCCGTAGCATTTTCTTTATGATTTTCTCTCTTCCAAATCGAAGTAATTTCTAACTATTCATTAACCCGCACTTCATTCATTTTAAGTTTCTAATAAGCATGTTGGACATAAAACCAAATCAAAATTTTTCAAGAAATTATTTGCTTTTTCATTTACAACTTTGCGAGCGCCCATTTCCATTTGTTACTAATCATCATTTAAATAAGTTTTAAGTTTTAACCAAAAAAAAAAAAAATTGGTCACTAATTGAGAAAACCCAAAACTTTCTTTTATCTTCCACGCGCTTTCCTACCCGATGAAAACAAAACAAAACATCAATTGGTTGTATCGAAAAAAAAAAAAACTGTACTATAAAATTTGTGCACATTTAACAACACTGACCACACGCATTTACCACACTGCCTCATTTTGTATTTAACAACACTGTTATCTGTGTAATATACGATATAATATATCGTATACAGACTATATTAACGATATGCTTAACGAAACAGCCGAGGAATGCCCGCAGAATCCGAATGAGATCAATGTGATTGGACCCAGCGACGATTGGGACGACGGTCTCACATTTACCGCAAAATCATCACGTAAGTTCCATTCGCTTCTATATGCTATATGACATTTTACAAATAGGTCTATGGCCGCATCGAGTGTTATTCGATTTAGTTGTTTATCATTTATCAGTTGGAACCTTTTAGAGATATATATTTACTGAACGCCTGATCGGTGGTTATATAGCGATAACCGACTTGTGTGTTATGCCATTCTTATACTTTTATCTCAACAATAATTGACTACACAAAAATGCCATCAAGTAGCATATTTCGTATGATTCTGTACAAGAAATGTGCGCGACACAAAAAAAAGAAAACGTTAAGAAAGTTTGTAAACATTTTGTACAATTAATTGTGTAAAAAGATGTTAGAGCTATTTGTTATATCAAGTAGCCAACTTTTGTTGCTAGACAAACTCTTTTTTATTATTATAATTTTTTTTAAATTTGTTTTACTTTAGCCTCGAAATAACAGATCAACTGTTGAGCCAGAGCTTTTGCTAGACTCTTTGATTTCTGTTTTACATTTGAATACTTCCGCAAATTGCCTACGAGAATTTAGATATAAATAACGACAACATTTTCTATATATTTGTTTTTTTTTTTTTATCCCTATTTTATGCGTATCCAATTTCATTTGATTTAACATATAACCAATATGTTGCTCGATATGCTCCCCCCATCCCAACGATAAACTGTAACACACACAATTAGCTGACTCGGATCGCGCCAATAATAACTCCCTGATAGCGCATATTCAAAACCTGCCCGGTTTTGATGCATCCAAGGCGCGCATCGTTCAGCATTATGCGCCCAAGCTCGACGACGATCAGCAAGATCTAGACTCGCCCGATCCGCCAGTTGGACCCACAGCGGCCGAACTGATCCTGCCCTGGCGACGGGATCGTTCATACCAGAGCATTGGTAAACAATATCAAAAAAAAAAAAAAACACAACTACCAAGAAATAATAAAACACACTGAAGCATTGGCTATACGAATTTTATATATATTCGCATCCAGAGACATCTCACACTCCCATCATACATTTCTGATATGCATACACATCCAAAAATATTCCCGCTCCAGTTCCTCATTTCAATTCTAGTTAGAAATGTACAAAATATTGCCAGTATATCTTGTACATAAATTCCAAACTTGAAATATATATTAACAAAATATATCCCGAAGTGAAAAGTTTTACCTTCCAGTTAAATTTCGATATATACTTTTATATGTAATGCATTTTTCTCATACTGGTTCAGTAAACTACATTGCAGAGAGAAGCGCAAAAGAATAAGTGCAAAGTTTATTCAACTTCATATTAATATTGAAGCGAAAACTGAAAAAGCCAGACAAAGTGAATTTCTGGCATAATTTACTTATCAACTGGCCTGCTTGCGTAAACTTATCTCTTATAGCGCTTCTCTCTTTCACTCTCTAAAAGCCCATCTCCATTCATTCGTTTGCCATTGCTCACACATAAAAAATAAATCCAAACACACGAAAATTTCTGTGTATTTAAATCAAAATAAAAGCCATTATAGTCGTATAATGTCTCATAATCTTAGAGAAGTTGATTGTACAATCGTTATTTGTGCTAAGCATTTGAAGTCGCTATTTAAGCTATACCGAGTTTATTTCTGTTGCTTTTGATTTATTTATTTTCTTTGGTAATTCCCAACTAGTTTACGTGGCCCGTTTTATTAAGCTCCCGTTAAGGTTCATGTCAAATTACAGATGGCAACCCTGTGCTGCTATCTTAATGTCAATCTGAGAAAACTGCCTGGTAAATCAAATAACAGATGGCAGCACTGCATTGTTATCTTTAAGTCTATCATAAGTTTCATGTAAATAAAAGTTGGCAACATTGTGTTGCTATCTTAATGTCAATCAGAGATAACTGTCTGGTAAATCAAATATCAATTATTAGGCTAGAGTAATTTCATGTAAATAAAGATTGGCAACATTGCGTTGCTATCTTAATGTCAATCCAAATAAACTGCCTGGTAAACTCTAAAGCTTAACAGGTTAATAAAGTGCCTGGTAAATTGTATCAGCTAGATTAGTTGCATGTAAATAAATAATGGCAACATAGTGTTGCTATCTTAATGTCAAATATTTAGTATGTGAATCTGCTGCCTGGTAAATTTTATCAGCTAGATCAGTTTCATGTAAATTACAGATGGCAACACTGTCCTGCTGTCTTAATGTTATTTATTTAACATGTGAATACCTGCCTGGTAAATTTTATCAGCTTAAGCAGTAACTTGTAAGAACAACTGACCATGTTGTAAAGATGTTTAATGCCTACCAGGTGGATAAACTGCCTGGTAAATTTTATCAGCCACAAATTTTGAACTAAAACTTTAATTGGAGCACAATAAAACGGACCCAAATATTTTGTAATAATCTTCAATGTTATTTAGCTGTCATAAATAGTTGTCATCAATGTCTATCAAGCGACTGTTTAGCTAAAACATTCGCTGAATTGCTTGTTAAAGACAATACAAATAAAACATGCAGAACAGCTTGTAGTTCTCGTAGTTGCATACATTAACGATTAGAATAGGCGATCATCTGACTAAGTAATGCCGAAATTCAGTACATTTAGCAATACCATAATGTTACGCAAATCAATTGAAATTCACCTTTGATATGAGAAACCAATTGAAGAAACATTTCAAGCGAACCAAATCAAGCAAAAAGCAGCATGGCATTTTTGTGCATGACAAAGTGTTTTGTTGTTGCCATCCCAGAATCGTATACTACCTCTTAAGTTAAAAGTCGCGATTACACAACAACAACAACAGAACCTATCCATTAGCATTCCCAGTCCCAACATTTGTTTGTATTTGTTTAATCAGGCTAATTGTTATTATTATCATAATTAAGCTAAGACGAATCGAAACAAATGTCGCATGTGTTTTCCGATCTCATTGTGCTTTTTGAAATATTTAGAATTTAAGAACTTCTATAATTCGTTGAGTCAAAGAACTTTGAAAAACACATGCGATTCGAAAGTGAACATAACCTATTATTTGGTATACATGAAAAAAAAATAATGGGTAATACTGGCCAAGGCTGCGAACCATATTTATGCAAGCCTGGAACTTTGAAGCGGTTCTTCAACAAGGTTCCGCATTGCGTGCTTCCTTTGAAGTCTAGTTCAGTGCTCAACACTGGTTCGCAGCCTTGCCACTCGCCATTTCGATTCGTTTTGAACACCGTTTTTAACGGAACTTGATTTGCATTTAAGTTGAGCACAATTTCTTGTTCTTGTCCTACCATTTTTTCGATATTTCCAGTAGTTATCGATAACTGAGCTTAAGCTGAACGCGTGATGCATGCATGAAAAAGCTAACAAATATACGACTTTTCTAACACTTTACCACTCGCAATTTATATTACACAGTGGCCGAGCATCCGATACCCGAAGAGGATCGCAATTTGTCGCGCGACTCGGATGGCGAACGTCGCGTGGCCACGCCCACAGCGACCGAATCGCAGCTGCCATGGAAGCGAGGAGGCGACGAGTCGACGGACGCAGTGCAGCAGAATGAATTCCCCGCCTGGGCCTCGAACAAGGAGTATTTGGCCTACAATTCGCCAAGCGCCACGTTTTTAGGTAAGCTGAACAGTTGTCAAGCGTTTAACAACACTGGCGCAGCTCTGAGTTATCGGCGGCAACGTACACGTTTCCCAACACTGAATGTACAGTTGCCATCTCCGTTTACAAGCTCTTCTGCTATTTAAATTGAAAATTGCAAATTGGCCTTAAGAAACTCTGCCGAAAAGAAGAAGAACATGTGTAAATAACACAAATTACATGTGTACATAAGTAAATATCTATCTATATAGTTTTCTCTTGTGTTTCTTAAGTGCACAAAAAACAAAAAAAAAAAAAAAGGCGCGTAAAAAATAAGTGAAAATTTTTATGGATATTTGTAAAAAAAACACTTGGTAGTTTTTTCTGTGTAATTTTTGTTTGTTAATTTCCCTGAACTTTGTGTTTTCTTCTCTTTGCCGCATTGATTATCCTTTGGTAACTGTCGCCCACGCGCACACACACACACACACACACACACGCGCACACACTCCAATACACACCTGTACATTTGGAACTGTGTGCCCCCGCCCACCCACGACCCCGACAGGTGGTATAAACAAGCCTAAACAGCCCAAGTCCGTCATAGGTCTGTTCCGTCGCGAGAGTTCCAGCTCGAAGGCCGGCAGCCTGGGCAGCGGCGCTGTGGACGCCGCAAGCGCCAGCCAGGATCTGATGGTTGTGCCCATAGTAAATGCCATCAATCCGTTGATTCAGCTGCCATCGACATCGATGCACAATCCACGGCTGGACAATCGATCGCAGTCCATATCGTCCGGCACGTTGGGCGCCCATCTCGTCGGCCCGGACGGACATACGGGTCCGTTCCCGGTTACGGCGAGCCATCGCCGGAACGTGCGACGCGGTTCAATGCTGGAGCTTAGCGGGTAAGTCCTTGTTACACACTCACACACACACACACACACACACACCAGCACACACACACGCACGCACACACAGCGAGCACAGTTAAGTGTGTGTGTGTCCTGTTCTTTGTAGCTAAAATGTGCCCCCAGCATGTGACTGTGTATTCCGTTTTACGTTTCTGTGCTTGTTTTTTTTAAGTGTAGATCTGTTTATTTATAAGACTTTACATAGCTTTCATTCGAATATCAATATAATAAGACCAGCTGCGCTGCTTGTACTCTCTTTTTTTTATCAGCCAGCTTTCTTAATCATATATCATAGAAATTGTAACTTTTGGGGTTTCCTGAAAGTTATTTAATACGAAAATCCCAGATATTCAAATTAAAACCTTCTTTGAAATCCTTAAGCGGATGTATCTTTTTGAAAGTGAAAGTCGACCAATAGGTACATTTAACCATGTACCTAAGTACCTATCTGTACCTAGCTGCTCCACTTGTACTCTATTTTATCTGTTTGTCATTTATTATAAAAGTTATAACTTATGAGTTTCTAGGAAAGGTATATCATTCGCAAATCTGAAGGTTTTTATCCTAGATATACCAATGAAAGCCCCTTTTGAAAAGTTTTTAGAGTCGTGAAACTCTTCCAATAGGTACATATAGCCATGTACCTAAGTACCCATCTGTACCTAGCTGCTCTAATTGTACTCCGTTGTATCAGGCAGCTTGTTAATCGTTTATTATAAAAAGTATAACTTGTAGGTTTTCAGAAAAGGTATTTAATTTGAAGATCTGAAGGTACCCGAGATATTCCAATTGAAAACATAAATAAATATCATTCGATTTTGGAAAGTATTTTCGTCGAATCATAACTTAATTTGTGATGTAATCGCTTGACATTTTTTTTTTTAATTTGACAAAACTTAGTGATTGTGATTTTTTTGAACGCCATTTAATAGTCGAGATCCATAAGAGTCTGAAATAGTATATCATTCCCGACCTTTGTTTAGCCGAGATATATCAAAGGAGAGTTACCAATCAATTTTTTTTTTAATTATCTCCAATTTTTGTATATTTTATATTTTTCTCATCGATAATCCTGACATAAAGAAATGCTTAATGAGATATCTTATGAAGATCTGACTTTATTTTGCGAACCTTTTTTCAATTATGCTTTTTTAGAAACTTTCAATAGACAGCTCGAATAAATAGAATCCAATTTGGTTTTGAATCGCACTTAAAAAAAATTGCTAGAAAAACATAATGGATCCCTTTTTTGTTAAAAGAAAAAAGAAGAAAAAAATTAGAACCTCGCATGAAATAAATAGCACAAAGCTTACCCTAACTTCTGCCTAATCAAAAGCTTTAAAAAAGAAGCTACTAAAATACAAAAAATCATTAAAAATATTTACATTAATTTTAGAAGAAACCCAGAAATTTTTGTTTTATTTTTTTGTCTTCAACAAATTCCTTGCCCAAACTATGATAAATTGCTGCATATTTCGCAAATCCCTCGTCCTGCTCCTCGTCAACAGCTTTTCAGTTTCAAAAATGTTTTGCTTATGCATTTGAATATGTATGCTCTTTCTTGTGCGTAACTTTTTGCCAGAATTTCATTGATAATACTCAACTTTAATTGTGTGCTCTCAATTCGATTTCCAAACAAATAAAAAAAATGCTCGACACAGACTCATAGCAACTGGACGCAGACCCAGTCGAGTTTTGCTCTGTAGTCCGGGAGCTAGTAATTTGCTAGAGAACACAACAACAACAACAACAATAGCCACAACAACAACAACAACAACAGCAACAACAACTGCTACCAATATCAAACCAATAATAACGACAACAACAACAAGCACTGTCAACAATTCCTTCTCGGCAAATTTAATAATAACCACGGCAACGTTTAATTCCCCGAGCAACTCGTCAACAACCAACTACAGTTCCCCAACATCGGAGAGTAGCGGAGCTACGTACTATTCCAAGTAATCCGAGTGACCCATTAAAAACTGAAAACCGAAAACCGAAAACAATAAAATGGGCAATCAAAATGCAACTAAAGCCGGCCAATGTCGAATTTTGTCAACCAATCGTATATCGTCAAACCAGACAAGAAACTAACACTTATGATCCCTAACTGCATAGTTTGTATATATAGTACAAGAAGAACAGTTCATGCATATCATACGTAAAGTTCACTGAATCGATATCAGTTTAGTCTATCTATATATGAATCCTATATAATACCGATATACCTAGTTCTAGTTTGCAACCTTCAACGTCTCTGGCAATTGGCATCAATTCATTTCGCACTCATCAAGTATATTATTCAGAAATGGGACTCATAGCTTATCCGTATGCCTAGGCAGGAAGTGTATAAATTGGTGCAACTTTCGATCCTAATTCTAATTTAATATAATTTTCCTTACTAATTTATTTAATAACTGAAAAGTAGTCTGTGTTTTTACCTATACTAACTAAATGCCATGCAATTTCTTAATATTTAACATGTACTTTAACATGTACTTAACATGAACACTAAATGATTTACATAGGAATATTTATAAGCTTTTTTTTTTTGTTTTTGTTACGCCTCAAGAACATACAATACAACTTCCTAATATTTAACGTTTACTTTATCATGTATTTAACATGAACTTTTTTTTGTTACGTCTCAAGAACATACAATACAACTTCCTAATATTTAACATTTACTTTATCATGTACTTAACATGAACACTAAATGTTTTACATATGCTTTTTAAGAGAATCTTGTTTTTTGGTGTTGATACAACTCAATTTTCTTATTTTTACCATGTACTTTAACATGTACTTAACATGAAAAATAATAATGTTTCACTTATAAGTTTTTAAAAGAAGCTTGGTTTTCGGCTCTGTTACCTGTTCTAAACGCCACAACAACATTTCTTAATATTTACCATGTACTTTAACATGTACCTAACATGAACATCAAATTTTTTAAAGAAGTCTGTTTTTCAGTTTTGTTTCCTTTACTAAACGCCTCACGAATATTTACCTAAACGTGAATATTTACCTAAATTTTTTAACATTTACCATGTACTTTAACATGAACATTAAGCGTTTTACTAAACAATTTTGCACATCTGCTTATATTATCAAAATTGTTAAATGCTTTCTTTTTTTTGGGTAACAATATTTTTCTTTGTTTATAATTTTGATTATATTTTTAGCGCCGTTTCCATTGAGTCCGTGTAGCTGTATAGTCCACAGACAAACGCATCAATCACTTAGTAAACACACACCACACATAAATAATATACAAAAATATATACACAGAATATTTGAACAGTAGTCGAGCTGTTATGAAAGTCTAGTATATGTTGGCTTTTGGCTCATAAATATATATACTTATATATTCATAAATATGTGTAAGTATTTTGGCTCGCCTAATATAATTATCAAGCAGTTCATGACTGTGCTAAACACCCCTCAAATGTAACTATTATGCGCGCAATATTAGGGGTACTCCTGCAACTGATTAGCTGTGCACAGTATAGAGCATAAAATGAAAAACAGACAGATATTACGTCTGCAAATATTTAAGTTTGTCTCGTTTCTCTATACAATATACTAAAGGCATCGCTTTTTCAATTTCCCTAGACAAAATTTGGTATTGGTTCAGCTTACGTTCAGTCGAGGAAACTTAAGTACCTTATCGCAAATGCATCTCCCTGGCGAAATGCCTTTGATTTCTTCTTTTACTCCAAACGAAACGCTTTTGTATCTCTCACTAGTCAATCGAAAAAACACAAATCGAGAAACATAATTGAAGTAGAAAATTGAGTGACAGAAAAGCAAGGCTGCAAATCGGTTTTGAGCTGAACCGGTTCGAGTCTGGAACTAAAGTTTATATTTTACTAAAAACCAAAGCTAAAAACAAAACCGAAAATGTACAGAAAATAGTTACCTTAAAATAGAGAAAAAATTGGAGAAACCAAGCCCGGTTCACGAAAAGAACCTGTGGGAGGAGCTGGTTCAAGCCGTGAACTGAACTAAGAATCGAAGACAAAAACAGAAAATAGTTTAATTAAAATATAAAACAAATAGGAGAAGCCTAGCTTTGAACTCAACCCGGTTCACGAACCGAACCTGTGGAAGCGGAACTGGTTCGAGTTGTGAACTGAACTAAAAACCAAAGCTAAAAACAATTTGACAGAAAATAGTTTCATTAACGTATAAAATAAATAGGAAAAGACGAGTTCTAAACCCAACCCGGTTCACGAACCGAACCTATGGGAGGGCAACTGGTTCGAGTTGTGAACTGAACCACCTGTAATATAATTTATGCTTGCAGCCCTGGTCGAAAGAACTGCTTTATTTATTATTATTGTGGAACAGCAAAATCAGTTGCACTTGAACCTCATTTTAAATGAAAACTAACCAAAAAAAAAACAAGCTAAAAAAATTAGTTATTATTTTTAAGGAACTGCTGGCAGTTATTTTTGGTATTAACTGTGCCTAAACATATTTTTTTTTTGGAGAAAGGAGAAATTGTATTTTAGAATTGCTTTTTTGTGTTTTCTGCTCTCACTTTTAAATCTTTCGCTTAATGCTTACGCTTTTTATTATTGTTATTAAATTGTTACTATTTTGTTTTTGCTTTATTCTCAATTGGATTTTGCCTTTTTGGTGTTCTCTATGATAATCGTAAGAAGTTGTCTTTGAAACTAAATGTTAAAGTACTTTTACTCGTTATTGTTAGTTCCATTTTGATGGAGGCCCTTCAAAGTTAAATAATTATGTTAGCTGTAGACCCTGATCATAGTTCGCATTCACTTCGTTTCAAAATTGTACGCACAATTGACATTTACTTTCTTCGACTTCTCTTCACGTCCATTGCACACAACAACAACAAAAATACACAATCACAGCGACACAATACCCGAGGAGTCCAGCTACCAGCACGGCCACTCCAAGTCCCTCTGCGAGCCCGTCGATGCCGATGATTGGGACGCGGTGCCGCTGGCTGGCACCGCCGCCGCCTCCGCCTCGGCCTCCGCGAAAGTAATGCATGCCGGACGTGAACCTTTGCTGCCGCGTCTGGCCGCGACGACGACGACGCCGCGTGCCCAGATCCGGCACATGAACGCTGGCGCGGTGGGCGGTTCGGCTGTGGGCGTGGCGGGCGGCAGAAATCAAGTGACGAGCGCGCTGCTGGACTACGAGGACACGGACACGGAGGAGGAGGAGGATGAGGATGATGATGAGGGCGAGGATTTTGATTTGTATGACGATGAGAACATTGTCGTCACCACGTTCACAACGCCCGCAACGCCACGCCCACACGAGCTGGGCAGACGGCATGGCGCTGCAGCTGGAGCCGCACCAGCTCCACCCAACACCACGACGACGACGACAACAATTCGCCTGACGCGCAACAACGACGAGAGCATCATTTGAGGGTCGAGCAGCTGGAGGACTCGCGCCAGATCCAGGCGTCTTTTCCAATACGAAATGTTCTACTGAGATCGGCCTAACTATCCACATGAATATAATTGACACATATATATATTATGTATATGTATATAGGCACATTTTGAAAATGGTTTAAAAACAAAAAATAAGAAAGCTTTATATTATAATTAACCCCATAATTGTATATAACAAAAGAGTATAGAAAGCTTCGGCTTGCCGAGGAATAAATAACCTTGCGGATATATTTTAATCTTTAAAATAACCTACAGATAATTACTAGAAGAGCTCTATGATATATTGGTCCGATGTAGCTAAGCAAAGGGTCTAATATATATGATTTTTTGGAAAACAGAAGAGATTTTCATTCAAGAACTTCATTTTTCGAGCGATTATTCCTATCAGCTAGACGATATGCCCGTAAGACTTTAGCGGGAAGTTAGAAGCATGGTAAATATTTAACATGCAAATTGTGTTAAGCATATTTCAAAATGAAAAGTCTCTATTCTACGTATAGCAGCTATATAATATAGAGGTCCTATTATTCCTAGTTATGTGGTATATGGTATCCGATAATAATAGGCCTCAATCCAGAAGTTAGGAGCATGGTAAATATTGACCATTTCCTGGGCATTTTTTGAAAACGAAAAGTTTCTCATTCAAGAACTTCACGTTCGACCTATTCTACCTATAGCAGCTATATGATATAGTGTTCCGATCAGGCCAACTCCGACTAGGCATACCATCTGTAACTAAAATACGCTTCTAAAACAAATTTCAGCAGGCTAGCTTCACAGTACAGATAGTTAACATAGTCCGTTCAATAGCTGGATAGTTAGGATCTGCAAGGATATTTAAAGAGAAAAACGATTGTACGTACGTCTGGCACACACAAATTATAAGTTAAATAGAATTTTTTCAGCTGCTTTGAACCATTTAAGTTCTTCAATTGTTAAACTAATCTATTTATAATGTATTTACTGTATTTAAAGCTAGCCTAATGCAAATGTGTTCCAGAAACAATTGTGTTATCAATTAAACAATTTAGCCAAAGTTCAGTATAAGTCCTAACACTTAGTTAGCTGTGTGTCCGTGAATTGTCTTTTGCTTTTAGTTTAGACAAATTTATAATATCTATATGGATAATTATAACTGTGTTGCTGCAGTATTTAGTTCAATTTTAGTCGTACTTAACGTAGCGTGTAAAAGAGAGCTGTAGAGCTACGTTTAAAAATAAATAAGAAATCTATTTCTAAGCAACAACTAAACTAGTTAATACCTATATATATATATATACTAATATACTATAGCTATTTAGCAAGAGTTGTGTAATTTATAAATTATTTTTGTAAACATTTACGAGCCACAAACTAATGAGAAATGAGTAGCACGAGAGTAAATCTTAACGTCTAAGTATGCGTGAATTTTCGACTGTATGACCAGAAAGCAGGAGTCCCAATAAATTTGCAGTTCAATATGTTCAAACAGTTCGAAATATCAAACCGGAAGCCATTTTCTTTTTTCACCTAACCTCAAAAGTAAAACATAACCTCAAAAATAAAAGTTAAATTCACATGCTTAGTAGGAAATTGTACTTCTTAGTTGTCCTGAGTGATTCTTTAATTCTTTCCCCATAAATTTGCAGTTCGATATGTTCAATATGTGGTCGAAATATCAAACCGGAAGCCATTTTCTTTTTTCACCTAACCTCAAAAGTAAAACATAACCTCAAAAATAAAAGTTAAATTCACATGCTTAGTAGGAAATTGTACTTCTTAGTTGTCCTGAGTGATTCTTTAATTCTTTCCCCATAAATTTGCAGTTCGATATGTTCAATATGTGGTCGAAATATCAAACCGGAAGCCATTTTCTTTTTTCACCTAACCTCAAAAGTAAAACATAACCTCCAAAATAAAAGTAAAATTCACATGCTTAGTAGGAAATTGTACTTCTTAGTTGTCCTGAGTGATTCTTTATGTGAGTATATCCAACAAATTGCCTTCTAAATATGCACATTAAAGCTGAATTAAATCGGGCATTAAACCAATTAACTAACTAACTACAAGAAGAAGAAGAAAAACAACTGTGTTTGGTTAACTAAAAAATATTTTTATTATTTCAACGAAAGACAATAAACAGCTACAAGAAATTGCATGGACATTTCTTGTAAATTGTCATTTCACTTAAAGATAAAACAAAAATCTATGAAAAAAAAAAAATACTTAAAAGAATTAAAATCAGAGCTGTGTTAACTATGAGCGCGTTTTCTATATAAATCAAGCATTATGCACAGTTAAATCGGATGAAAATTGAAAAATTGACACTTTATATAAAAAGCGCCAGCTCATAAATGAAATTTGCTAAAAATAAAAAAAAAAAAATAAAAAAAAAAATTAAACAAAAACAAAAAGAAAATTGAATTAGTTTGCAATTTTCATACTGTAGGCCTTAAGTTGTGCATAATTAAATAAATAACTGGACATAAACAAAATAATTGAAAAATGAAAAAAAAAACTCACCAAATTATTTATTACACAAAATAAAAAATAAATAAAAAACTTGTAAACTGTTAAACTGATTTTAAATATTGTCTAAGAGAATTTTACTAAAAATAAAAATCGAACGAAAATCAAAGCAAACTAAAATTCATTTTCAACATATATATATATAGATAATTATTATAAATGGCGAGAGAGGTCAGCACCAGCAGCGCCATTGCATGCTGCTGCGCTTCTTGGGCAGCTGCCAGTCCATGATGACGTCACGGCCCAGCAGACGATTATCCTGATCCTCCTGCAGCATGGCCCTGGCCATCAGCTCATTGCACTCGAACGTGACATAGGCACAGCCCATCAATTGGCCATTGCTGCGCTTTGTTATGTGCACTGATTGCACTTTGCCGCGCAAACGTTCGTCCGGTATGGCAACGCTGGGCGCGGCTGCTGGCTGGCGCCAGTGCTGCCAGAGTCGCTGCAGCGGACGACGCGCGATCTGGTTCGATTTTGCGGGCTGCTGCGCTGCTTGGATTTCAAGTCGGGGCACTGCGTAAGTACAGAAGACGAATATCTAGAGAATCGAAAACCAAAACAAACAATAAATTGTATATATTTAAAATCAGAAAAAAAAAATAAATGCAGTTTTCCAGAGATTTTCATGAATTGATTTGAATGTGATTTCCAGCTTTGATTTTTGCAATATTCTAAAACTTGGAAAAAGTGTTTATTAAAAATTCTATTTTTTTTTTATTTTTATTATTTTTTTTATTCATAAATTTTTTAAGCCAAAAAAAAGAAAATTTTTCAAATTTTAATTTTAATTTTAATCGAAATCACATTAAAAATTTGAATATAAATCTCTGGAATTCCCTTTGAGAAGCCGCCACTAAATAATGCTCAGATATATATATATATTTTTTGTTTCTTTTTTTAATTCCGTTTATACATTTATTTCACCAAATATGTGTTAATTTTGTTTTTATTTTTTTTTATTTATTTATTTATTTTTTTTTTTGTAATTTCATAATCTTATTTCATTTGAAACTGATATAGTTTAATATGTTAAATGTTTTTTTTTTTTTGTTTTAATTTTTGCATTTCTTGAAGAACTCTCTCTATATATATGTATTGTTATATGTATGCGATTAACAAGAATTCCCGACATATTTTGTTATGTATATATGTATATGTATGCATATGTATCTGTATGTTAGTATGTAGGTAAATATGTATATCGATGGTCATCATTTCGCATTTCAAGTGTGTCTGTGTGTCTGTGTGAGTGTGTGTGTGTGTGTGTGTGTGTGTGCTAGCTAATGCGCACCAGTGTTGCCAACTGCAGCTTAGAAAATGTAACTGAATCCAGTGTTAAGAATAGATTGAAAAAGCTGAATTGTCCGTTGAGTAGCCAGAAAAAGCCAAACTAGCTTGAAATCTAACTTTTTCGGCTGAAAATAGCTAAATTTGAGCTGGCCACACTGTTGCGTACATATATCAATTTTAGCTATTTATTTTTCTTTTGAATTTTTCTTTCTTTTTCTTTTTTCGGTTTGATATTTCTTTTAATGCTTAGTTAAATTCATGAACGCTTTAACGATTAAAACAAATACGCGTATATGAGCATTATATGTATGCAAGTGTGTGTGTGTGTGTGTGTGTGTGTGTGTGTGTGTGTGTGTGTGTGTGTGTGTGTGTGTGTGTGTGTGTGTGTGTGTGTGTGTGTGTGTGTGTGTGTGTGTGTGTGTGTGTGTGTGTGTGTGTGTGTGTGTGTGTGTGTGTGTGTGTGTGTGTGTGTGTGTGTGTGTGTGTGTGTGTGTGTGTGTGTGTGTGTGTGTGTGTGTGTGTGTGTGTGTGTGTGTGTGTGTGTGTGTTTGGCTCTATAAGAAAAGCGCAGCCCATACTTAAGTTAAACAGAAATAGTTTTCTTTTTGTTTTGCCTCTATTTAACATTTTGCTAAAGAAATTTGTAGTTTATGCTAAATATATATATATAGCTTTCATATTTTTTTTTTTTTTTTTTTTTAATAATTCATAATCAACCCAACAATATAGCTACAGATGTATGTAAATATGTCTCAGCTAAACACTTGCGAAAACTGAAAAGAATTTCAATTTCGAGCTTAGGCAAGTGTTTTTTTTTTTGTTTTTTTGGTTAATTGATTCGGGTTTCGTTTTTTCTTTTTAATAAGTAGTTTTAGGGCCTATAGATGCATATTATGTATAGTTTTTGTTTAATGCAATAACAAGTTATATGTTGGTTATCATCTTGAAAGGCAATCGAGAGTGTGTGCTTTTGTAGATATAGCATAGATACAATACATATATATATTTTAGTACTAATAACAGAACATAACATAATATAGCTATTTGTATAAATCGAGTATATGTTCAATATCATGTTAATATGTAGCTAATTGCAATTCAAATCGAACGCGTTTTATACACTTTGTTTTTTTTTTTTTTTTACAATCAACTGTAAATGCTGCTGACAACTCTGCTTGCAAATTGAATGCGCGCTGTAAATGCTGCTGATAACTTTTTGCTGGCAAACGAATCAAACTAATTTCATTATGGCAGTTGAATTAGGCGCTTAAAGTAGTAAACAATTAAAACAATTTGTTAAACAAATTAAATACACATATATATATATTATTAAGCAAATTGAAGAAGTTATAACTAATACCAATACTGCTGTCGTATGTGTGCTTCTAAGCCTTCTCCTCCGTGAAGTAATTATCTTTTTTTTAATTGTGAATGGTCTTGTTGCTTAGTATTTAGTTAACAATTAATATTAGTTATATATTATATACAAATACATGCGCATATTATTGGAAAACACAGAAAACCATCATCATTATATATGTGTATTTTTGTAGGTAGTTAGTATATGTATATTTCTTCTTCTTTTTTTCTTTCTTATTTTTGGATATTTCTTGGGGAAAAAAACACTTTAAATTTATATATATATAGTATGTATGCATTGGGTTTTAAACACATCTAATAGAACAGAACTGTAATTGCCTTTGATATATGTTTTATCTCATAGTATGTATATATATATATATATATTTTTAAATATGTTTATATGTAACTTGATTTCGATTGCGATTTGTAATTTGTATGGTAATTTGATTGATTACATATATGGCATTTCCATTAAAGTTGCACATTTGATTCTATGATGTAGGAGAACTTCGGAATAATTCCAAACACAAAATATCAATCCTTAGTATTTTTCAACAACTTCCCCAAAATATCCATACATAAAACTAAAAAGCTGTTCGAAATATGAAAACGAAAGATAACAGTCCAGAAAATAGAGCGAGTCTTCAATTTGAATTCAATTTTCGAATGGAATATGATTGTGAGAAAAGATTGAAAATAAATCAGAACCAAATGCTCGCTAAGTTTCGACAACATTTTGGATAATTTCTTGACAAACTTAATACTATCTATGGATCCTACTGGACCTGGTTGTTGTTCTTGTTGTGGCGTATTCCTAGCGTCGCTTAAAGACCAAACCCGATGGCTCGTTATACGTTTCCTGTGCGCCGCAGTGCAAAGAGTATACAATTCAAATGATATTGTAATTAGATTTTAGTTTTTCGATTTTATGTACAGCATAAACATATGTAGGTGTATAAATGTATAAATAATAGCAGGTAAAAGTACAAAAAATTACACAAAATAAATACAAAATCAATGGACTACTAAATACACAAGATGTACGTAAGGTAAATGTATAAATATGTATATAATGTGTGTATATATGCATGTAAATGCAAATCAATATCAAATTAAAGCTAAAGATTGGCTAACAAGGATACAAAGGTGTTTGGGCTGCGGTACTTTTAACTTAAAATTAAATAATTGCTAAACAACTAAATAATAACAATTAACAATATACATATACAGATAATTAGATCATATTGCAACAAATTAGAACTAAACATCATAAGATAAACTAGCTTTCAAGACGTTAGGCGTGGCGAGAACAAATTGGCTTTACTTATTCGATAACCAGAAGAAATTATATAATTTGAGCAAAAAACAAAATCTAAACTGGAATGTGTGCGAGAGAGCGCGAGCTGGGGATGAAACTACGTGTAAAGCATCGTCATGGTTGTGGATTTTTGTTGTCGTTTCTCGTGGAGATTCACTGTGTTTTAGTGCCGTTCACTTTCGCTGGCTTACCGGACGTGACAAATGGACCCACATAGTTGCTGGGAAACAGACCGGAGAGGCCGTTCAGCTCGCCGCGCCACCATTCCGGCTCATCGCGGCCCAGTACGCTGATGATGTCGTCCTTGTCAAACGAGAGCTCATCGTCGTTTTGTGCTTTGTACGGATAGAGAGCAATCACCTTGTCTGCAAAAGCACAAAACAATTAACAATTGTTTTAAATTTGTAATTAATTCAAGTATTTTGTATAGCCAACCCAAAATCTGTTCGGTCATCTCAATGCGACTGCCGGAAACGGGCGTATTGCGTCCACTGTTGCGTCCGCCCTGCAGCACCTTGACGTAGGTGGCGGGAAACCAGCCGATTTGACGCCGTCTGCCTTTGGCCTGCAGCTCACCCTCCCACCAGCCGGAGTCGGTCTTCTTGCGTATCATGATCAGTTGGCCGCGCGTCAGCGACAACTGCTCCGTGCTGGTGGCCTCATATGGTGCAATTACTTGTGCTATCTCCGAACGCTTGGCGCGCATGCCCTGCAAAGCAAAAGTGAAAGGAATGGTGGTTAGTGAAGTTTTATGGCGTTGGAAATGTTTGGGCGCATGTAGGTCAACTATTTACGGGTGTCATGGAAGAAGTACGTGACATGGGCCGGCTGTAGCTTTCGGCCGGTTCGCTCTGTGTCTTGTTTTGTGTGTTTATCTGCGATACTTCAATGTCAAGATCTTCGATTGTATGCGACTCCTCCAGCTCAACCGCCTGTGGCTGTGACTGTGCCTGCGGTTGGATCGACTCTGGCGCCTCTGGCTGAGCAGCATAAGCGGCAGCGGCAACAGCATTAATGCCATTCGGTGTGACCTCCTGGACGAGAGCGAGCAGCATGATGTGTGTTTATCGAGATGATTGGGGTTTAGCAAATGAAAAGCATTGGATTAGTAGATGAGCACATGGATATGGTTAAAACACGACTAGGAGCTATTTGTATGCCATTGCAGTGGGGATATTTCTGACTATATTCAAATAGATATAGATCTGATTAGAAAACATTTCAATTTAACTGCAAGGGCATTTCAGCTTCGACAAACCGGAGTCAAATTATATTTCTTGTATTAATTGTGACCATTTTAGCGACTCACCTGCTCGATGGGCTCGGGCTCGGGCTCGGGCTCGACAGCAGTTGGAACTGCATTGGCAGCTGTGGCTGTGCCGACATCCGCTTTTTGCACATAGTTCGATGGGAACATGCCGGTGCGATTGCCAATGGTGCCCGTCCACCATTCGCCCTCCTTCTTGATGACCATGACCATTTCGCCGGCGCCAAAGCTCAGGTCACCCTCCTCAGCGGATTCATAAGGATATGCGGCTATATAGTATTCGACATCGCCTGCAGCAGCAGCAGCAACAGTCGCTGTTGCCAGCTCTGGCTGTGCCGCCAAGGCGTTATTGTCCAAGTAGCTGTCGGTTTGGGTCGCGGGCTCGACAACATCTGGCACTGCCACTGCCGCTGCTGTTGCCAATGCCATTGACTGCACCTCCAGCTTCTCCACGTAGGACTCGGGAAACCAGCCGGTATGGCCGTTTATTTCACCAGCCAACCAGCCGGGTTCGGCGTTCTGTTCCAATGGCACCAGTATTATATCGCCTGGCACAAACGTAATCTCCTCAGCGTTCCGGGCATTGAACTCGTAAACGGCGCGATATTTAACGAAACCTTCCGGCGCCGGTCCACTGAGATCGACAACAGCATCGGCAGCAGCAACTGTGTCAATGCTTAGGCCATAGCCGGCATAGGCATCAACAGCTGCGGCTGCGGGCACGCCGCTGGCCGCAGAGCCGCCCCAGGCGCTGCCCGTATCCCAGGCGGAGGTGGCGCTGATTGTGGCTGCTTCGTTCTTGCGATTATATTTCAATTCCAGCACCGCGGTGCGCTCTACGTCGTACTCCTTGTACAGATTCTCGCATTTGGTAATCAGCGCAGCGAGCTCGGCCTTGAGCTCCTGCATGGTCACATCGTTCGAATTGAGATCCTCCTTCTTGGATTCGATTTCCTTTTCAATGTTAACCACCTTGTCCTTGATCTGCTTGATCAGTAGCTGCAGTCGAGATTGGAGTTAACAAAATTTATATTTTTCCTGATATATATATATTTGCCCAGTTGCCCACCTGCTTGTGCGCGAAGGCGGCGTTTAGCTGCTCCTGCTGTGTCGTGTCGCCGGCAATGCCGCCGCTCGACTTGCTCTTGGCATCCCACTTGGCGCGCTCCTGTGTTAGCTGCAGCAGCTTGGCGTTCTGCTCCTTAATGCGCACCTTCAGCTGGGCCATTTCGCTCATCGAAGTGTCGCGCTGGGTGCGCATGCCATCGATCACGGACTTGACATTGGTCACCCCGGCGCGTGTATCGCAAATCTTTTGCGACAGATCCTTAATCTGCGAGAGAGAACTGCGTTAGCTCTGGTGGAATATGGTGAGAGTAGCTACTCACCCTCTCGTTCAGCGTGCTGAGCTCCACATTCAGTTGAGTGTTGTGTGCCTTCTGCTTGAGCACGCGTTCCTGCTCCCTTTGCTTTTGTGCATTCATTTCGGCAATGCGTGCCTGCTCCCATTCCTGCTGGCGCTGCTTCTCCAGCTCCCTGTCAAAGGCACCATTAATAAGTTTTTCGTAAGTTTTTCCTTTGCAAATCGCACTCACTTTCTAGCTGCCTCCTTGGCCTCCAGTTCGCGCTTGCGCTGCTCCTCCTTTTCCTGCTCGATTTCACGCTGGCGCTGTAGCTGACGCTCCAGTTCCTCCTGCTGCTTGCGCTCGGCTTCCAGTCGCGCCTTCTCGCGCTTGTCCGCCTCTTCGCGTTCCTTACGCTCACGCTCCTCTCGCTCTTTGCGCTGCTGATCCTCCATAAGCTTGCGCCTGCGATCCAGCTCCACCTTGCCCTTCTCATAGTTCTCCTTGCGCTTATCCTCAAATGAAGCTGGACAAAGGGTAGACAATTGTTAGACTTTATTATTTATATTTCCTTAGGCAATACTTACTTTGCGGCAAGCCCGCAAGTGGATCCGCATCGGACATGACGGCGCCCTGTGAAGAGACCGACGTATGCCGCGAGGCGGGCTGCGAGCCGGGACGTGAACCTGCGCCAGACACGGAGCCCGGTCGCGACTTGTTGATCTTGCGCAAGCTGGGCGGCACCCAGTCGAGTGGCAGGCTAACGGGTATCTTCTCGCCAGCCATGGCCTTCTCGCACAGAAACATGGCCAAGATGAACTCATCGCAGCTGAGCCGCCCATCGCCATCGACATCGGCCAGCGTCCAGATCTGCGCCAGCGTCACCTGCGGCAATTTGCTCTGTACAAGAACACCTCGCGCCTGGGCGCCCGTCAAGTAGCCGGAACGGGTGCGATCATTGGCATTGAATACCTGCGTATATTTACGTTTCTGTGCCGCCTGCACGGCCCACTCGCCCTGACTGTGAATGGAGGCGATTAAAAGAGGCTCACAAAATGTGTAGAATTCATGATATACTCACGGAGATTCAATGGAGGGCGCGCGTTCCGAGATGGACATATGCCGACTAGATGGATTGCTTTGCGGTGGCGAGACAATCGCTGCAGGCACAGCAACTGGAATGGGCACCACCGGAACTGGAACTGGAGCCGGAATCGGTGGCACCACAATTGGAGGAGCAGCAATAGCAACGGGCACAGCCGGCGGCACAGCTGCAGCAATGCTTTTGAGCGGATCCATTGGACTCATTGAACTGGTCGAACCGCGTGGCGTCATTGTGGGCGTCGGACCGCCAATGGCAGCCGCATCCGTTAGAGAGCTGAGCAATGTGGGCGGCAACGTTTTGGGCACCTCCAAGCCTCGCAGCTTCAGATTGATAAGCTTACAAGCTATGCTAAACTCATTGATGTTCATTTTTCCATCGGAATCCGTGTCAGCCAGTGCCCTGCATATGAAATACAACAAACAACATATTAGAGATGTGTGCGTGAGTCGTGAGTGGGAGAGTTTTTATTTGAGCTATTTGTATAAATTTCTTAGTGTTAAATTTATTTGACAGCCTAATTCAATTTCCAATAAATTCGAACTTGGGATTAATTTATACATTTTAAATTTTGGTAAAATATAATTTCTATTAAGCAATTTGGTGAAGTTTTTCCAAAAATTTATATACAAATGTCTTACAATGAACGAAAAATTACATATAATTTATTTATTTTTATTTTTGACAATTCTAACTTTTTGTATTTCTAATTTTTGATCAACCGCTGCACCAGAAGATGAACATTTTTTTTTTAATTTTTTCGTCACGAAATTTTATGATAATAGCGTGAGTCGTGCTTAAGCATGAGCGCACGCACAGTTGCCCAAAGACACATCTCTAATTCATATCAATGAAAACCAGAACAAAACAAAACGTCAGCAAAATAACTGTTGTTGTTCTGTTCTTATCTTGCCAGCAGCGTTGCATTGCCGATAGATGTAATAAATACATAACAAGTGAGTCAGTTCCGTTACTTACCATATTTGACCCAGGATCAACGGCGGCAGCTGCGACTGCAAAAAGAATCCTTTCGCCTGGGCTCCGGTCACAAAGCCGCCCTGCGGTTGCAGCGCTTTGAACTGCTCCTGATACTTGAGCTTCTCACGCTGGGTAACAGCCCACGCATCCACTGCCGGATTCATTTTGTTGCCCTTTTTGCTGTGTGTCCCTATGTGGAGTGCGGGCTTCGCAAAATTTTCTGCTTGCTACAAATGTGTACGTGTGTGTGTGTATGTTTTATGTTATCCACACACGCTTTACGCCGTGTATTTCTCGTCTAACCGACTCTGACTCCCCCACACCGACAACAACAACAAGCTTTCTCGCAGTTGTGTGTGTGTGTTTTGTTCTTGTTTAATGCGCTCTCTTCGGCCGCTGAGTACACATCAAATACATGTCATGCTCCTCTCCAATGTGCACACACACACACACATTCGCTCGCGCTGGCTTACGCTCTTTTTACTATTGAGTATCCGTTTTGCTCCCACCACCCCACAATTTTTCACAATGGATTTTTATGGTTTACCTAAAATGCAATTGCAAATTGTTAAAAACACATCATCACTGGCTTAACTAACAGCAACAACTACAGCAGATAACAACAAATTAACACCTCGTCACATTTGTAAATGTTTCAGTTGTATCGGAATTGTCGCTCGTATATTTGGTGGGCGTTTTGATTGCCCGAAAAATCCATCTTTACCGAGTTTCGGTATTGATTTCTTATTCAACTGTCTGCTGTAGTTGTATGTGCAATGTGGTGCTCTTGCAAGTGCTTACTTTTCATTTGAACACTAAATTTTTTTAAGTTTTTGTTATTTTTAACTTCGTTTTGTCGTGCAAATTAATTGTTCACGAACCAAGCAAAACGAACTATCCCTCAGGTGAACGAGCCAAATGAATCACCATTGATCTACCTTGTTCATTCACTAGTTCAGGGCTACTGAAGACCGCTTGCAATATAAATTGGTTCCAGTTTTTACTAGTTTTATGCATAAATGTATAGCAATGGTTCACGATCTAATAAAAAGCAAGCTCTACGCGCTCGCATTTTATGGCGTTGGAAATAATTTAGGCGAAAATGTGATCCTGATATATAGCCACATGTGAAGTAAATATCGCCACATCCTCATTTAGGGTTGCCGCCAAAGCAAATTACAATCGATACATTTTCGATAGCTCACGTCTCCCACATTATCCAACGCAGCGTTCTTTTCTGTGCGAGCACGTGTGGCGACTGGTAATATCCGCTAAAGCAACGGCGAATAAAATATGTAACAAAATGTCGGAAACTTCAGAAGATGAACAAACGCAATTGCAAACAAGCGATGAAGAGCTAAGCGGCGAGGAAGAAGAAATTGAAGAGGATGCCGACGCCGAAGAAGATGGCGCTGGAAATGCTGAAGAACCAGACACAAGTGACCCCGATGAGGCGGACGAAGCAGAAGAGGCTCCCAAAGACGACCAGCCGCTGACATGGAAAGATCTAGTAAATTTCTCAAAATAGCCAAGTCAATTTCATACTTTAACGGAGTTTACCCAAATGTAGGGCTTAAATGACACGTTGTGCAAGGCGTGCGAGGAGCTGAAATGGAAGGCGCCCTCTAAAATTCAAAAGGAGGCGATACCTGTTGCACTGCAGGGCAAAGATGTCATTGGCCTGGCCGAAACCGGTTCGGGCAAAACGGGCGCCTTTGCTTTGCCCATTTTGCATGCTCTGCTCGAGAATCCGCAGCGCTACTTTGCCTTGGTGCTGACGCCCACACGTGAATTGGCTTTCCAAATAGGCGAACAGTTCGAGGCGCTGGGTGAGTGTACAGTTATAAATTTCCATATATATATATACAGTGGCGGCCAAGCAATTGGGCACTCTTTAAATGAGTGTTGCTAATATAATTGCCGCCACTGTATATACATACATGTCCACAATGATGTGAAACCCTTTTTGATTTTATGTTCTTCAACGAAAATATGAAATTATTATTTCTTTATTCGTCACTACCTCTGAGTAAATTAGCTGTACTATAAGTATGAACGCCAGCGATTTGCCCTTTGCTAAAAATATTTCCCATTTCCTGCTCCACAGGCAGCGGCATCGGCATCAAATGCTGCGTCGTGGTCGGCGGCATGGACATGGTGGCGCAGGGTTTGCAGTTGGCGAAGAAGCCGCACATTATCATTGCGACGCCCGGTCGTCTGGTGGATCATCTGGAGAACTTGAAGGGCTTCAATCTGAAGGCCATCAAGTACCTGGTCATGGACGAGGCTGATCGCATACTCAACATGGACTTTGAGGTGGAGCTGGACAAGATATTGAAGGTGTTGCCGCGCGAACGGCGCACATTTCTGTTCAGCGCGACGATGACCAAGAAGGTAAAGAAGCTGCAGCGTGCCTCACTCAAGGATCCCGTCAAGGTGGAGGTGTCCAACAAATACCAAACGGTGGATCAGCTGCAGCAGTATTATCTCTTCATACCAGTCAAATATAAGGATGTGTACCTGGTGCACATCCTCAACGAACTGGCGGGCAACAGCTTCATGATCTTCTGCAGCACCTGTAACAATACCGTAAAGACGGCGCTGATGCTGCGCGCCTTGGGACTCGCCGCCATACCGCTGCACGGCCAGATGTCCCAGAACAAGCGTCTGGCGGCTCTGAACAAATTCAAGGCGAAGAATCGCTCCATCTTGATATCCACGGATGTGGCCTCACGTGGCCTGGACATACCCCATGTCGATGTGGTGATCAATTTCGATATACCCACGCACAGCAAGGACTACATACATCGTGTGGGCCGGACGGCGCGTGCCGGTCGCTCCGGCCAGGCCATCACCATGGTCACCCAGTACGACATTGAGCTGTATCAGCGCATTGAGCAGCTGCTCGGGAAACAGCTGCCGCTCTACAAGTGCGAGGAGGACGAGGTCATGGCGTTGCAGGAGCGCGTCGCCGAGGCGCAGCGCACCGCCAAGCTGGAACTCAAGGATCTGGAGGATAGCAAGGGCTACAAAGGCGGCAAGGGGGGCAAGCGTGCTGCCGCCGACATCGATGATTCGGAGCAGTTCACGGGGGCGCGCAAGCGCATGAAGCCCATGGGGGGTAATAGGGGCAAGGGTGCGGGGGCTGGCCGTGGCGGAGGCGGCGGAGCGAAAAAGAATTGGAGCCGGGGCAAAAAGAGAAACTAGCCTTTAAGTTTATTTAGTAATGTAATTTAATAAAAAAAATAATAATTGATATACACAGTTCAATTGTGTAAAATGCCAGAATACGTGATTTGTACGATATTTTGTTAAAATGAATATTTGTAAACGCTGCTCAACAGCAAATAACGATAAAGTCCAGAGTCCGAAAGGTCAAATGTTTGCTGCAAAGAAGAGAGAGGGGGAGTATTATAAGAGAAGATAATCGTTAATATAATATTTTGAAGTGTCCTAAAGCCAAACCGAGTTGGTAAAAAATTAAATTGGGAAGCGAATCAGCGACATTTTTCATGTAAATATATATACATATATATATTCTAGCTTTTATAGTGGATGATGTTTTTATAGTTTATATTTCCGACTGTAAACTGTTTCAGAAGATATATGGACCAAGCCTGAAATGAACTTTGACCCAAATCAGCTCGATTCCAATTAACTCAAAAAGCGCCGAAGAGAACTAACGGCTTCAGGCATTGGATTTATCTAGCCATATTTGGTAGATTGTTAATCTTAATTGAAATCTAAGTGCAATTATAAACTAAGAGTTGAATTGTTTCATACTTAGACTAACGTCTGGCAAAAACTGAGGATGTATTAAACTGGACTTACAAGGCAAAGAGTTGGAACCAACCTGATATTGATCAAACCGAGCATAGACAAGGAGTATTTTAAGGACTTAGAGCAATTGGACAACCACATAACATAGCCCATATATACAGCTACATATATGTTTAAGGATTTTTAACTTCGGTTTATAGCTTACCCGTTGTCCTAAAAATCGCTCAAATCGATATTATCCTCGAAGGTGTGTCGAAACGGATTCGTCAGATTGTAGGCCATTTTGTCCGCTGGCGGCAAGCTGACGTAGCGATGCGGCAATTGTTGCTGCTGCTGCTGCTGCAACAGCAGTTGCTCCCGCATCGCCGGCTGAGCTGCGTCCGCCTGCACCTTGCCCGCAGTTTCGCTCCAGTTCTGCAGGATTTTAATAACCGAGCTCAGAGCTTCGTCATTTCGATCGATGGGACTGAAGAGCACCAGTTCCCAACATTTTTTAACCAGCACCGGATCATTCTTGCCGACAGCATCATGGGCCAGGCAGGCCATAAATTCGACGGGTATGGGAAAGCTCTGATTGTAGAACAGATGATTCAGATTTGGTATGTAATTAAACCAATCGGCTGCAGCGAGTATTCGGAGCAGCTGCATGGTCAAATCCGGATAGGCGTGACCAATATTTGGACGCCACAGATGCTTCATGAAATGCGCCGCCGCCAATTGAGGCGCCAGCTCGTAGCGCAGCAGCAGATAATAAATATCCGTGATAAAGGGCGCACAATATGCCATATATAAGCTACAATCCTGAACCATTCGCAGCAGATGCGACCGCATGCCACGATTACCGAAGATCTCAGCAAATACCACGAAAAAGTTTCGAAAGAGCAGCCCATGACGCAACACCATGCTGTACGTGTCGCATAATTTGTCCAGCTTCATCGACTGAAGGCGCCGCTGCACCTCCCACGGACCGCTGAGCGTGTGCTGGCAATTGATTTGGTCGCATTGCCCATCCAAGAAGCGCCAGCATTTGATGCCAAATATGAAATATTTGCATTCGTTTGTATAAATATTCGGAATGCCGGAGAGTGCATTGTCCGGTTCCGGTGGCAGGCGAAACGGTGGCGCAAAGATTGGACCGGAGTTGGCTGTCGTTTCTCCGGCTGCAGCTAATCTTGTGCTGCCTCTGGCAGGCCGTCCCTTTGGCAGCTGCTGCTGCGGCGGCTGTTGCTGCTGGCTTCTCATAATTTGAGCCTCCGGCTGTTTCCCTTGCTGCCGTCGTGGCAGTTGCTCCGACTGTCTGTTTTCTTTCTTGGGTATGCGAAAATTCATCAACTCGCTGAGACGCGTCTTGGCGGAAGACACCGTAGAATCAATCTGAGCAACTGTCTCGAAGCTCTCTTGAGCTCTCACTGGCTGTGCGGCTGCCTTTTCCTCCAGTGCAACTTTTGTATTTTCAGTTGGCTGCTTGGCTGAATTTGTATAGCCAAAGGGCTCATCTTCGCCGTCCCAGGATGTGGTCACTGATATAGCATCAATATCGTCATCATCATCATCATCGCCTTCGTAATTGAGCACATTATTCATAACCGTGTCCAGCTCGAGTGGCGTTTTCTCAACTATTGTTGACAAATTGGGCAAATTATCAAAAAAATCCGTTGTATCAGCTATTTGATGGTCAATCTCACTTGGCGTTTTGTCATTAAAGATCTGCAAACAGCGATCGATTTCCTGAACGCCACATTTGCCATCGTCGGCCAATATTTGACCCAGATCCGTGGGTGCGGTAAGTGGAGCGGTCAGCTGCATAGCCTCATTGATGAGCATATCCTCCAGCTCAGATTCGGCATTCGAATTATGCTCAACAGGTTGCTCAAGCGACTGCTTGGAGCAGTCTTTAGTCGGGCTTAAATTTAGCTTGTGCTTATCTTGAGTTTCTGGCACAGCTTCAAGATGTTTTCGGCCCTTGGGCATGCAGAGATTTTCCGGCTCATTTGATTGCAAAGTGGAAGTGGAAGTCGAAGCAGCGGATGTGGCTGAATCGTCAGTCGGTGTTAAATCGATTGCTTTTTGCGACATGTGCGCGATTTGAGCGTTCATCTGCGGTAACAAAAGAAATTGATTATTATGTGGCAAGTACTCGAGGGTGGCGCAAACTAAGATTACAGCATTTGATTGACGCTTTGATCTGCTGCATCTTCTAATCGCATTCAGCTGCTGTTGATCTTGATTTGGTTGTTGCTGTTGTTCTTGGTTGGAGCATTGTAAGCGCGTGCGTATTCGACGTGGCGCGGACGCCTGCTCCAACACAGCGTCTAGCTCTGGGCTTGTATTTTTAGCTTGCTTTCTTTTATTTTGCCTGGCTGGAGTATCCGACTGCCTTCCCCTTTTGGTGCTTTTCTACAGGGCAGACAAACAAGTTCTTAGGTTTTATTCAACATATTTTTGTCACTCATGTCACATACCTTGGGCTGCGACGACACGATATCCGGCTCAGAATCGGTCTGATGCTCCTCTTGATCTGTCTTTTGCCCATGTTGATCCTGCTCCTTTTGAAGTTTCTGCTTTTGAATACTTTGCTTCTGTTCTGCTTTCTGCATTTCAATCTCTTGCTCCAGCTCAGTTAGTAGCTCTTGGTGTACTTTTTGCCTTGAGACATGATCTTGTTGCGGTCTCCGTTTTTCTACCACCTGCTTCAGCGGCTCCTGCTGCTCACTCTCTTGGCCCAGCTGATTCAGCAGCTCCTTATGATTGTTTTGCTTTCTGTTCTGTTTTAATTGATTCGGAAGCTTCTCATGCAGCTCCGGTTGAACTTTGTGGCTGCCAATCTCTTGTTGCAGCTCATCCATCAGCTGCTGGTATACTTTTTTCTTCTTATTCTTTATTATTTGTTGAATTTGCTGCACCTCTGGTGCTTTGTGCTGGGCAACATCTTGTTCCAGCTGCATTCTCTGTTTTCGATTTCGTTGCTTCTGTTCCTGCAACTCATGATCCGGCTCACTTAGCGGATCTTGTTGAAATTCCTGCTCCCAACTCTCGGATTCTGGTAGTTCCAGCTTCTCCAATAGAGTTTCCTGCTTCTCCATGTTTTCATATACATGAATAAGCTGCTTTTTTGGATTTTTATGCAACATAATCTTCTCCTGCTTCTGTTCAGGCTGCTGTTGCTCAACATCTTGCTCCAGCTCAGTTATTTGGTGAATTTTTTGTTTCTTAAACCTAAGAATTAGTTTATTCTTTTGATGGTCCTGTAAATTTTGCTGTCCAATTCCTTGCTCCAACTCATATAGCAACTCTTGCTGAATTTGTTGCTTCTTAATCTTAAGAATTATGCGATCCCTTTGTTGATCTTGAGCTTTCGGTTGTTCAATTTCTTGCTCCCGTTGATCCTGTTGAGTTTCCTGCTCTACATTCACTACATCTATCTCATCCTCTTGAGCTTCCAGCTGTTCAAGCTCTGTACCCGCGTCCTCATGCTGATTTTGCTGCTGTTTACGCTTTTCATGTATCTTACCTAGCTCCTCAGCTTGAGCTTCCTCCTCATCCGGTTGACATTCCAACGATGCATCCTGGAGAAGAGATGGACGACTGTACTTGGCTGTTTGTTTGACGGCGCTTCTTCTCGAATAATTGTTAGTAAATTTTGGAGCAGGTGTATCCTCGTTTACCATCTGTTCGTCAGTTTCCTTTCCCTTTGGAATCTGATCTTCAGTAGCTGCTGCTCCAACTGTATTCCGGGTCTGCTTCTTGGCTTTGGTTGTCTTTGATTCTTTCGACAACAAGACATTTGTCTCCGATTTAATGCGCTTTCGCCATATAGCCAGTGGCTCGGATTCGTTATAATTGTGGACCAACGCTTGCTCAGCTTTCGGTTGAGATTTACGTTTCGTTGGATTCAATTTTGGCGGCTGCTGTTGCTGATTCCCGACTGCCTGATCGTTTAGCAGATGATCGATCTATGTGTAGGAGAAGAAACTTGAATGTAAATTAGATAGATTAAACAGCCCAATTGTACATTTATTTACACTTTCAATGCGTATATATGGATCTGTGGGAGACTGCATGCATTTCCAGAACTCTTCGTAGTTTTCCTGCCATTCCTTGGCCGTATATTTCTCTATGCCCGTCTGTTGTACTATTTGCGCCCACATCCGTAAAATATCACGGCGACGCATCTTTAATTTTCAAATTCTATCCACAGTTTTTTTAAGTTAAATCCCAAACGATTCCACGTGAAAATTTTAACGACAAATTGCGCCAGTATTTGCTTTTATGTCTCGCGCTGTGACAAGTGCCGTTATGTCGGGGCTGCACAAATGGTGACCAGTGATACTTTTTGCAAATTGTCGATAGGCAATGAGTACTTTGCGAATTTCTTATCGATACCAGACAAAGGATCAAAATACTCAATTGCAGCGCTTTTTCTTATGGTTTGATCTTTAATCAATAAGGATTCGGAAATCTCTTACATAAACTTAATGTCAGTAAAAAGTTTTACTAACCTCAAGCAATATATTGAGTGTATCGATAAGTGCCATCTACTTGAATTTGCTGTCACCTATCATAAAAGTAGCGCGCCTTTTGTTGAGTTTTTTAGATAATTGCGCCCAAATCTGTTTTCGTATGTTTTTTAAATAAAAAACTTGTAGTGCGTAAAACATGCAGTCAATTTCTTATGTATACGAATGTGTATATGTACATGTATACGCATCGACGTATTTTATTGGCCCAAAAGTACATTACAATTAATCTAATTTAAAATGTCTACATTATAAAACAATATTAAAGGTCAAAATTTTACTAATCTTAAATATTTGCACAACGCACTCGGCCAATTACAATCGCGAATTGCCTAACACTGTACATCGAATAGCTCGCAGATGCCTTCGTCATTTTTCAGTACGAAATTAAAGTCTTCTCGTGGTGGATTCAGTTGCACCAGCGGCGGATTTTCTAAAATGACAAAAGGCAAAAACCCATATTAGTATCATACAAGCAGTTACAATTATATTTAAGCTACCTAAATGTGGATCATCGGGATAGAAGCGCCTCAGTGAGTGGCCAGCCATATAATTTTGAAAGATTACTTTCGCCGTCAGCTCAGTTTCGAGTGCCTTCATCTCCTCCTTCAGCTCGGGATTACAAGAGTACGTATGCTCGTCCTTGATTACGTTGCCTGTGCCGGCGCCTGCGTCGCTGGAGTGCGACGGCGACGACGATGGCGATGGTGTGTCCAAATACCGATCATCGAATGGCCCATCCGCATCATTTGGATTTGTCGTACCCTTGCCCTGGTTGGTTACCAGGCGTATATCGATCGTGCTGCCATTATCCAACGAAACACGTAACTCATGCTGCAAAAATAGTTAACAACAAATAATGAGCTGGAAAATAGGCTTTAAATGGGTCCACCTACATCGCTGCGCTGAATTTCCACCTCCTCGTCATAATTGGGTATGGTAAAGACGGAATCATCACCGTAGATTTTCAGTAGGTCATCTCGTGTTACGTACGCGTATGATTGATTGGTTGGATCCTGCATAATATAGTGCAAATTACGCTGCGCATACTCCAATTGTCTGTCCAGATCCTCTTCGATTGTTTTTAAATGATTCGTCCTTTCGCAGGCAATATCGTATTCCTTGCGGTCCTTGGCATTGTTGAAACCTCCGCCGCTAAGTGAAACATTCAAACATGAGATTATTAATTTTGAAAAATACATATATATAAGATCTATATGGTATTTCTATAGTGGAAACTATAGAGAATTCCCCGGCAGTGTGAAAGTCTCTTCACAAGTGAAGTCTCTAAAGGCTCAGGTGCAGGAGCCCACAAAGCCGTCAAAGGAATTTTGGTTAAATAAATAATAAGTATATTGTGACCGGATTGCCTTCCGCACAATGTGGGCATAATCCTTACCGCCAACGCACTAGCGAACAGTGCCTGCCCTTGTCAATCAGGCCAATGCCCTCCAGGACGTTGGTGATATCATAGATACGACGTTTCTGCACGTCCAAGATTTTCGTGGCCTGCAAGAATATATTTGTGAGTGAATTAGAAATATGGAAGATGCATACGGGTGTTACCTCTTTCAGATCAATCGAGCCACCATTCTGTTTCATCAGTTCAACGAATTTTTGGGTCAACAACACCAGCGAACCCACCGAGCGCTGCTGTTGACTATGGGGCTGTGGTGTTTGTGATGTTTGCGTTGATTGTTGTTGCTGCTGTTGTATTTGTATTTTGGGTTTTTGTGGTTCCGTCGGTAGGTCTATGTGGAAGGTGCCATAGGTTTTTGATTCCGACTCGGCCTCATGGCCACTGGCAGAGTCATCAATATCGGGGCTGCTGCTGCTGGCAGTGATCCGCTGCCTTGGTACTACACCACCAGATTTACGCTTGTACATGGCGCGCACTTAAATAAAAGTCTCTGTTCGATGTTGAATGGCTAATTTGTTGGCCCTATTGAATTGCTGCGTGTTTAGACGATGAAAATATTCACGTATTTTTATTATAAATCTCAATTAAATACAAATGTTGGCGCTTGAGCACAATTCCGCCATTTATGTCACTTTTTTTCATTCTCCCAGCACTGCGCACCAGTGTTGTACTTTGCCAACTTATCGATCAACCGCCACAATTAATCTAACAAAAAGGTTGGCGCAATTAACTAATGACGCCTTTATGCAACAAAAACACTCACTTAACTTGCAATAAAACTTAATTAAGGACTAACTTTATCTACTTAAGCACAATACTCTTATTCATATAATAATTTCACCTCTTTGCACTGTCGCCCAGGTTGCAGCTGTACCAATTTATCGAAATACCAAATACGTTTATCGAACAATTAAACATGCTTATATATAATTATTTTATTTTACCCATATTTTAAAGTTTACGCGTACATTTTATATTATTTTCTTGCAAAGTGCTTAGAATATTAGCTGTGGCGTTGCACTTATCGTCCTGGTTAACCACGTTCTTAATACGCGCCATGTGAGTGTGTGAGGGGCGCGCTTTTACAGCTGCTTTAATTGCGTGTCACGCAGATATTCATTTTTTCCCCCTATAACTTGTACTGAAATAACATAACTGTGGCTTATATTAAACCCTCTAATAATTTGATTATAGTTCAGCACTTAATATTACTATATATTTTTGTCACATTTGCCACCTACGTTCCTGGCATTATTTTTTTTATTCATGTTCAATGATAATGTCAGAAAGTGCATTTTTTGTCTGTGGCTCTGACACATATTGCAGTAAACACGTGTAGCCTTTACACTATACAATTATATTAAAATTGTTATTGTTATCACCTTAACAACCGATATTTGGATTTATTCTACTGGATGCATCTGCAATCACTATTTTAAACGAGTCATGCGCGCCCACATGGCATCGCAGCATTCGCATTTTGCAACACTGTTGATCTGTTGCCCATCACTACTTTTGATTTTGTTTTGCTCACACATTCTATTGGGGAACAACGTGCCTGTAGATTTTTTTTTTTCGAATAATTGAATAATAAAGATCAAAAAACATAAAATGCCTTCGAAAGTGAAGCCAAGACTTTCGCGCGGCGTGTTGGACATGAAGTTCATGCAACGCACCAAAGCGAAAGTGGCTAAGGAAGACGATGACGAGCAGAGCCGCGCACTGTACTCCAATGAACTGAACCAAAAGATGCTCAATAGCAATTCAAATTTTATAATCGAGCCAAGCTATAGCATATGCGCCGGACTCATCGATGGTCGACTAAGTTTTCGTGGCATGAATCCGGAATTGGAGCGTTTAATGGAGCTGGAGCTGGCCGAAAAGCAGGGCAGAACGAGACCCGACCAGCCCAAAGAAGTTACCGACCAGGAGATGGCCGAAGCTTACTATGCGAATCAAGCGCCGGCCGCAAGCAAAACGATGAACAAAAAATTCGCCACAAAAAACGAGTTTAACAAGCGCAAATCCAATGGCAATCCAAAATCGCAAAAAAAGCCGGAATTCAAAAAGCCGCGCCAGGACGACGACGACGATGATGATTCATAAACTATCATATTCTTTATAACATATGACATAGGAGTTTAGCTTTTAAATATATTGTACAATAAATTTGCTCAGCTGCTTTCGGTTGGCACCTGTTTAACGGCCTGCAGCGCATAACACAATTGTGTGGAGTTTATCCAGCGCCAAGTGTTGCGCCAAAAGTCGTATGTGCTGCCATTGACGAGCACCGTTTGGCAATTCACTGCAAGTACAAGCATTAGCGCTTAACTATATCCACTCAATATAATTTTCTTACTTGTGTCCAATATGCGCTGCACGTCTAGTGGCCCAATCATTTTGTCCCAGTGATGTGTTCCCTTTGGAGCTATATTCAGCACATACTCGCCCAGCACAACGCCGCCGAGCCACATGGGCAAGGTTTTATTCATGGTGGTTATAAAAATGGAGCCGCCCGGCTTAAGTGTCTGTACGCAAGAGCTGAGCAACGCGACCTTGTCGTCGACATGCTCCAGGACTTCAGAAAGTATCAGCACATCATAGTATTCGCAATTTCCTTTGGCATGCTGATCAATTGGTTCCATTTTATACTCGACTCTATCACGGAGCTCGGGGCTCCAGTTAGCCAAATGTGCGCGTGCAGCCTTAATCAGCTCTTCGCCGAGATCTATGCCTGTTACGTGAGCGCCCAAACGAGCCAGCTGCTCGGTCAGCAGACCGGCGCCACAGCCAACATCCAAGATGCGTTGTCCACTTAAGACCTTTGTTGTGTTTATATAATGTGACTTCACATTGCCGCGCGCCACAATTCCATCGCGTATTAATGGTACCCTACATAACAGAAATTGTTTAGGTAAGCTAATTGCGTATGTGTTAAGTGGTTTATTTGCCTGATTTCGTTCATGGCATGCAGCGCTGCCATTGGACCATTTTTATTCCACCAATCTGCGGCCAAATCGTCATGATGCTTCACCTCGCGCACCGTTTCTGCGGTCTGTTGCTTAAAGCCGCCGGTTGAGGTGGCATCCAAGCTGCTGTTTTTTGTTAGCGCGCTAAACAGTGACTGACTAAATCTACTATTAAGATTAAATAATAAGTCGCAATTAATGTGAGTCTGCTCAACATACTTGCTGCGCTTAAGAAGGGCCAAATTTCGCAACATTCTAAATGCGTAAATTGTAAAAACAGCTGTTGTTGTTTATTATGTTTTAGGCTTAGAAATGGGAAAATGTTGTCAATATATCGATAGCGGCTATTATCGATAATTTAAGTGGAACTCGCCTGACGATTAAAAACAGCTACATAAAATATCTAAGCAGAACAGTATAAAAAAAAAGCACAGTGTCGATTCATGGCAGATTTAATAAGGATTATTTTATTAAGTCTATTCAGATAAATTATTTTTAATTTTTAAGTGCAGGCAAATGTAAATTTGAGTGACGCTGTTGCCGCTAAAGCTTTTGCGGGCGAATCGATAAGTATCGGGATAAGAACAGTTATTTGGCAAGCGTCACCATTTTAGTATTGCTTCAGCGATGATATGACAAAGAAGTAAAGAACACGATTAAACCAAAAATATATATTAAAAATAGTTAACTGTGCAAAATGTACAAAGAAGAACCGTTGCTCAATCATGAGGACTCCGTAAATGCGTCGGACAGAAATATGCAAAGAGGAAACGTTCATGCACTGCAAATGTTCCTTTTAACCACATTTCTGCTGCTGTTTCTAGCCGGCTCGATGTTTCATCCCAAGCCACTGATGCTCAGATCTCCGGCACACCAGCGTGACGATCAGCAATACGATTGCAATATAACGCTGGTTGAGTCAATCCCGATTGGTCTGAACTTTACACCCAACAGCCCAAAGTTCATGAGCACATTTGAGGCCTGGCAGCAACTGCTGGACAATAGTAAATCCACACTAGACATTGGATCCTACTACTGGTCACTGCGTGGCGAGGACACGGGTGCCAATGAGAGCAGCGCGCAGCCTGGAGAGCTGATTTTCCAGAAACTGCTGGACAATGCCATTGCCACATCTAAGATCAAAATACGTATTGCACAAAGCGAACCCTCGAGCGTTTCACCAAATCTGGACACACAATTACTGGCCAGTTATGGTGCTGCCGAGGTGGTATCCCTTGATTTTCCCAAGTACCTGGGTGGCGGCATACTGCACACAAAACTCTGGATTGTGGATGGAGAGCACTTCTATTTGGGCAGTGCCAACATGGACTGGCGTGCGCTGACCCAAGTCAAGGAGCTCGGCGTCCTAGCTCAAAATTGTCCACAATTAACCAGCGATTTGGCAAAGATCTTCAAGGCATACTGGTATCTGGGCAGCAATCCCGATGCACGCATACCATCGTCCTGGCCCTATGATTACGGAACCAAATACAATAAGGACCAGCCCATGTGGTTGAATGTAAACAAGATGTACCCAATGCAGGCCTTTGCAGCCAGTTCACCTCCCCCACTCTCAGCCTCGGGACGCACCCATGATCTGGATGCCATATTAACGACGATACATGGGGCTCTGAAATTCGTGCATATTGCTGTCATGGATTACTATCCCCTGATTGTGTTTGGACCCAAGGTCCAGTACTGGTCGGCCATTGATAATGCGCTGCGCAGCGCGGCTGTGGAGCGCGGCGTGTCTGTTAAAATGCTCATTTCCTGGTGGAAGCATTCGGATGCCAGCCAGGATAACTATTTGCGCTCACTACAGGATCTGACCATGGCGCACCCTCATGTGGATATACAAATTGTGAGAGCCTAGCTAACAGATAATATATATGTCTCCCAAACTAATTTCCCATCCTTTTGCAGCGTCGTTTTATTGTGCCCGCAGATGAGCATCAAAAGCGCATACCCTACGGTCGCGTCAATCACAATAAGTACATGGTCACAGACAGAGTCGCGTATATCGGCACCTCCAATTGGTCTGGTGATTATTTCACAGACACTGCTGGCATTGGCCTGGTCCTAAAGGACACACAGCCCGGCCTAACAGGCACCATACGCAACGATTTGCAGAATGTCTTTGAGCGGGATTGGAACAGCACATATGCCCACTCATTCACCTAAGGCAATGCCTAGCATTTGTACTATTCTTTGACTGGCAAGCTTATCAATCTGACGTCATTTATTTTATAGCTTTTTACCACATTTTGATAACAGTATTTTTTATGCTTTATATTTCACATCTTGCTCAGTTTTTAAATAAAGTACTGCGCTATTTTGTTATCTAAATATATAAACTGTTTCCTGAGGAATGCACGCGCAACCCAAGCCGTAAAGAACTCTGAGACTGAAATTGTAACTTAAGACGCGTTTCTGCGAAATTCTACACACCTGTGCGGGAAAGCCAGAAAAAATAAGGTTGTATGGAATTTTTGTTTGTCATCCGATCGGCCTTAAACACATTTGCAAAGGTCGCTGTTAAAAATGCGCTTCGCATAATCCACCCTTCCCTTCCATCCAAATGTGGGAAATTGGCGGAAACAAATTGATTTCTTAAATCTCAAGCAACAAACATGAACCGGACAAGGCCGGGTACTGACTGCCTGATAGGAAAGCTGATAACTGTAAGAAAAACCACACCCGGCTAATATTAGCTATATATATATATATATGTATATATATAATTCAAATACTCTTTCACGCTTGTCATAACTTTAACATAGTGCATAGTTGCCGCATTCCATGTTCAACTTCACGGACTGTGCTTTGAGATTAGCCACACACTTATTTCACATTATTGCCGCCGCGTCGCAGAAAATTGTTGCTGGCAATGCACTTCTCAACGATCACATTGATATCAGCCACACAGCTCATGAGGCAGTCGTAGATCAGCAGTAAACAGCGCGCATCAATAGCTGCAAGAGAGGCAGGAATTCAGAAATTTAGATATATATAATATAGAGCCCTGCATAGGTAAATTAATGTGCATCAAATTGCGATACTCTTCGAGCTAACGTTCTGGATCGATTCCAACCCAACCATCTCGAGAATCCGAAACAGGTTTCGGTTTACTCGATGCAGGGCTCTAATATAATACTTCATCCCACCTGCATAGAGTATCTGTTCGCGTCGCAGCGGCCGATTTGCCCAGTTGGAGCACTGATTGGCCTTGTTCAGCTTCTTGCCCAGGCACAGCATGGACAAATCGGTGAGTGCATCGCCGGCGCGATTCACATTGCCGTAGGGCAGCTCAACGCCATGTCGCTTCTTCAGCTCCAGCCAAACGTTGCGCAGATCCAAATAATGATGCGGCATATGCAGACGCAGCTGGAGCGGCAGGGAACGCTGCAGCACCGACAAATCGTTAAGCATGGAGAAGCCCACCTTGAGAATGTTTGGATTGTTGAAGACGTTGGCGCCCAGGGCACGCCAGTGCTCCTCGTGCAGCGTCTGTCGGCTGGCCAGGCAATCAATTAGGTAGACATTGTGTATGGTCGCTATTTGAAGCAAACAGAGCTGATTCTGTGCGCACACATTCTGCATCCATTCCGAGTCCATGTAGATGATTTGTTCGCGCTGCAAATGCTGCAGCATGCGTTCGAATGTGGCCGCCGTGTCCACAATCAGAAGGCACTCGTCCGGCAGATCCATGCCCAGGTACACTTCACAGGCCGTTGGCGTCGGCTCTGCTGCACGGCACGGCGGCTCCACCTTCTGTGAGATTAGCGGTTTGATTTCTGGCGGACAATCCTCGTGGCGCAGCTTAAATTCATTGTACCAGTATATGGCCTCCGATTCCAGTGGCCCATTGACTGCAGCCGCCGCCACATAGGCGACAAAATCCAAGCGCAGAGCATGGTCGTAGGCATGTACGCGCACCAGCTCCCTGAAGCTGTCCATATTGATGCGCGACTTCTCGTACTCGCGGTACAGGTAATGTAGGTAGCTGCAGGTCTTTGTGAATTTGTAGTTGGGCGTTATGGTGTCATCGAAGCCATATTTTTTGGCCAGCCGGGCCACAATCTTTGAGACGGGCCGATAGCTGAGCACATGATGCGATACCTTCAGATTTTTGTAGCGACTGCAAGAGATTAAGGCATGAGAATCAAGTATAGGATGGATTATGTGCTAAATATGTGGCTGGGTTCACAAAGCCAACCTCAAGGAGAGAAGACACTGTGAACCACCGAACCGACAAGATGTACCTGAGTGTACTCTCACACATCTCTATGACGGACTTGTCCTTGTGCAGGAGCGAGTCGAGAAATTTAACAAACGGCAGACGCTGATGCGTCGCCTGATCCAGGTACTCTTCGGCAAGCGGAAGTTTCTCCTGCGCAATCAATGGGAATGCCAATTCCAGCATATCGAACTGGTGAGTCAACTGCAAATTGAGTGTCCACTGCGCGACCTCCTTGTAGTAGCCATTGTCGAGCATCTCGCGCAGCTTGGGCACGAGCAGTTCACGGATCTGTTGAATGCGATATGCCTGGACCATGGCATTGTTGAGCGTCGTCAGGCCCGTCGTCTTGACAAAGTGAAAGGCTATCATGCTGGTGTTGTCATCGCAATGCTCGCTCAGGTGCGGCAAATCCGCCTGGAGCTTGCACACCGTGTCCAGCACAAAGTGCGAGAGGCTCTTGTTCTTCACATTGCTGCTGTCGGGGCAATTGGCAAAGATTTTGAGTGCCATTAGCATGGGATTCGGGTGACGCATTAGCGCATTGATCAGATCCTGTCGCATATACGGCGACGATTTGCATTTGCTGTGCATGTTCCATTTCTCGCGAAATACATTGAAGAACTTTTGAAATTCCGTGTCCAAGGTGGCGTCAAAGTCGCCATTGATGCCCGCGCCTAAGTTGAAAGTTGTACAATTATATTTATATTTACACGAATCCATGTGGAGCTTCTAAGCCCACAAAAAAAAAAAAACAATATTTCATACCCGTTGTAATGTCCTCGAGTCGTTTGATTTTCAAATGCGCGAACATGCATTCCAGCTCTTCGTCATCGGACTCCATGCCAGCCGGCATTGCATTATATCTATTAGCCATAATTTAATTTCCTTTTTATTTTGTGGGCGCGCAGCCCCACACACAATGCACTTGCAAAATTGTTAACGAAATTTCGTTCGCGGTGTAAAAACATATGTTTTTAACGCATTTAAGATCTTAACATTATGGTGAACTGTTAATAGCAGCGGGCGCTCAAGAACTGCGCTGCAGTCCGCTTTACCAAAAGTTCAAGCAATTGGTTTTACCAATTTATTTTAAAAATATCCTGTAAAGTGATTGTAAGACCCTATTGTCAAAACCATTTACTTAGTTTTGACAAGAATTGCCAAGTTGGCCTAATTTTGAATTTAACAGGCTGTTACCTTACAGAGCCGCTTAACATTATCGATTATTGACCTTAAAGGCTCGATACTCACGTCAGACAGTTTGGTATCGATCCCTTTTTGGAAAATGAAGTAGAAAATTTACTCGATAGATATGTCGATAGTATTGCCTGAACTAGTAAACTACTGCTTGCGGTGGTCAGCGCGGCAGATTTAAATTTGAATTATTTGCAAAGTTTAATAAATCTATTAAAGCTTTTTTTAAATTGACATGCACTTGCATCTATGAGCATATGTGATTAATACTATTTTAATTATTACACTAACTGAATAGTTAACAATTTTAATGAATGCAGTTTTTTGTCGCAACATTCGAGAATATTTAAGCTTATTAAATTTAACAAGCTTTAGCCTTTAATTGCGATTCAATACACTAAGCCCTTTAGCAAATGATTCATTACATTCCAAAACTAAGCGTTAAATGATCTATTAATTTTCAAAATAATTATACGTGCTTTAAAAAAAGCCGTTATATAAACTTGATATTGTGACAAGTGGAGGGCGTCATCAATTACAGCTAAGTGCCAGTTATAGACAAGACCTGGTAGCTGGCAGCACGTGTAGAGTTGCAAACTGGCCAGTCAAGATTTATGGCCAACAGCCAGTGGGTTTTCAAGTGCCAACAACAGGTCGTTCAGAATTAGCATGCGGCAATATCAAGCTCAACACAAAAGGCATAATTTTTCTATATTAAACAATTGCAAGTGCTGACTATCAAGGTCAACTGGCCCTGCTCCAGTTGAACACATGTAACTCTCGATTTTAACTGCAGAGTGTTGAGTTGGCAACCAGACAGGTTGGGTTCAATCGTGGGAGGTCGAGGCTGTGCTCGAAGCTGTGGTTAACACCGTTTTATTAGCAATCGGTTAATCTATATGTCTATATGTCGAATTGATTAATTGCACTGATGTAATCTAAATAGAGTTTTTCTGAATGTAAGATGGTTTTATGTTTGCCCTGTGTCCACTGACCATTGATAAAAGTTGTTAATGAAATGGGAACTGAATAGTTCCAAGGGCAAATTTAATCCCAGGCCTGTCCATTCTTATGTTCCATATTTTATATAAAAAATCGAACATTATAAGCATTTCCTGCACTCTCTCCCTATTTTTATACGCCTAGTGTACATAAAGTTTGAGTTTATTTGAAGTCATCGAAAACTAGCCCAGAAAATCGATAATTATCGATTGTTAGCCACAAAATTTGCTACAGAAACTTTCGTACAGTATTTATAGATTCAGACTACTTCACTTTTCCGACACCTGAGCACGTGCATCATAAGATACATTTAAAAGGTAGAATGCGTTATATTTTATTTGATCTCAGATATATGTATATATATGTACATATTAATATATTCTAGATCTGCATCAATCGCAAAGCAGATAATTTGCTAAGCTGTTTATCCCATAGAGAAATAATAATTTTAGATAGTTAATTATTGTATGGCTCGCACAGATCAAACTTTACTTCAAGTTATCGATAAATATCGATTTCAAGCAGTAGTTTTACGAGCATATTTCGCCGAACATACAAGCTAGAGGCATTAAGAGTTGCCATCAGGAACGTATAGGTGAACTTTATACATATTTTTATATTTGCTTTTTATGTATATACTCCTCCTTGCTCCTTGCTTGTCTCTTTAAAGTCCTGAAAGAGAAAATGCAGCGCTAAAACTCTTTGAGAATTATAAGCGCAGACATTCTTAAAATGACTTTTTCATGAGTAAAAAATATATTTTGATTTTAAACATATTTATTTGGAAACAATTTTTCATGTGCATGTGAGAATATCATTTGGTTAACAGATCGTAAGGAATAGAAGTACATAGAGTAGACCAGAATAAGTAGAGTAGGAGAGGAGCTGGCCAAAGAGGCGAAGCGTGACTTAGATGGCAGTAAGATGTGTGTGGGATAGCTTTTCGGGAAATAAACAAAAAAACAATGGAAACTAAAAACGAATCGATGGCAAGGTCAAAGGCAGGTCTGTTGCAATTGTAATCCCAGAGTGTGATCTCTACCAAGTGCCTGGTGCGGGCTCCAGGTTGACGGAGGCGGCGCTCTGGACATGTCCGGGCAGCGGGGCGACATGCACGGCACCGCGCGTCTTGGCCACATACGAGGCGGGCGCAGCGGCAACGGCCACGACAGCGGGCGCCGGAGCTGCAACCACAACTGGAGCAGCATGGGCAATCGAATGGGCCGCCGACTGCACCAGAATGGGTCCGGCTGGTGCAATGGCAATGGGCACAGCGGCGGGCACCGCGGAGGCGTGCACGGCCACTGAGCCGGCCACGGCCGGAGCGCCCAGCACCACGGCGGAGCCATGAGCGGAGGTCAGCAGCGGCACCACCGAACCGTGGACACCCCAGGCCAGAGCGAACAAGACTACGACAACGGCGAACTGCAAAAGGGATTCGGATTAAAGTACGGCTCTCGTTGGGCCCAAAACGACTCCTGCTCACCTTCATGTTGGCTTCTGTGAATGGCGCGACGCTTGAAACGTAACTAATTGACAGCTGCCCGTGCCCGTTGGGCTTTTATAGCGCCCATTCTGATCGGATCAGGCCAAAGCCAGTTCTCGGCCAATGCGGAAACTGGCCGGCTTAGCTCTGAAACGAACCCACGCCCCCCTCCTTGACCTTCAATTGCCAGCTTCCCTCGGCTTGGAGCCACAATTGGCCACAGATCGGTTGACAAGCGACAAGATAAACGCCAGCAGCCAGCAGCAAGAGACAACCGTCAAAGCAGCCCATTTGATTCGGTCAATCAATTCGCCTATCAATCGAACAATAACGAGTAAGAGCTCAGCTCAGTTGAGGCTGACCGACTAGCAGATACCCTGTGCCCAGTGAAATATTTGCAACCAGAAGAAGTCTGTTTCATGTCAGCTGCCTAGATTTTGTAAAAGTGATTTATTCCTTTAACAACAATGCCGAATGCCGATATTTGTTGACATCGATTAAAATTGTACAAGCTATCGATATATATTTAAAAAATTTACAAATGGTATGTATCGATATTTTATCGGTTTGTTGGACAGTTCTTAAAAAATTACCCTCGCATAATAATAGTTATTACAAAATGACGCTCGTTTAATTTTTTAAAAACTATTCAACAGACCGATACAAATTCGATATTTATCGATTTTAATGAGACGGTGCATGAATGAATTTATGGTATCTAACTTTTGATCATTTCTGTCTAGCTTTCGATTATTGCGACGATTGTAAAAACTATGTTGATATCCGATAAATTGGAAAACTTATCGATATATTTCATAAGAAATTCGATTTGGAAATGATGTTTGCATCGAATTCTTATCGACTTTGGAGAGATATAGAGTAGTGCCATTAAGTCCTCCAAATTAAGTATCTCAAGCTCGTTTTAAAAAATAAAATTTTTAAAAATGTATCGATAGTTGAAAGAAAATATCGAACTGGTATCAATCTTGTACCCTTACGTATTAAAATCTCATAGATCTGACGGCCGATTTGAGTGCCGATCAATTATATATCAAAATTGTAGAGGCTCGGTGATGTCTCCGATCTGCACGTTACATACACTGCCTCAAAACTATTATGCCCTAGCTCACTTATTTTAAATGGGTATAACAATAATAACAACAAATCAATGCAATTGTTATAGTTGGCCACTTGGTATCTTATACTGGATATAGTTCACATTTCATCAGCATTTTTCAGTGTTTGCCCTGAAATTAAAATCGCCGACTAAAAGCATTTGTTATATTGCCATATAAATACCTATTTATATAGCTAATAATTACTTACAATATATCTTAAGATTGCGTTTGAAAAAGCTGCTCAAGAGGAAACAACTTTTAAGAGGCTTGGGTAAAGTGGGATACTTGGTTAGGTTAATGGAGCGCTTGACTAAGCTATAAGAAATATTTGCATAATTTGGATTCAATTAAATATTATTTGCTTATTATTCCGAATATGTGAATATGTATATATATTAATGGAAGCCATCTATAAACGTAATAAGTATAATAAATATTCATAATGATTTCTTTAAATTGATTGATAATAACTATTTAAAACATTAGTATTAAGCATATTTTTCTACCTTTTACGATTGTTCCCCAAATCGATAAGTATCGATACCCAAGCTAGGACATCAGCATGAGCTGTATTTGATTTCCCGAAATTAATGTTGCCATCTTTTAAGTTCCCACCGTTTAGAACCTATCGAAGGTATATTTAAATATATATTCTAAATGTGCATAATGCTTTTTGTTAAATATGTTACGATTGTTCCTCAAATCGATAAGTATCGATACCCAAGCTTAGACAAACTTTTCAGTTTCCTCCCTATCGAAAGTCTTATTCAAACAACTTTCTAACACAGAAATCTTTTTGTATAAAAACTAGATTAGAAAACATGGTCGTCTTTTGTAGATTTGTCAAACTAAATCTTCTGTTTACAGTAGAAGTAATACATACATACACACACAATTAAATATCACTACTTAAATACATATATTTATATATATATATTTACATATCTATATAGTTACATATTTATCTTAGACACTTAGTGCCAAGTGGCAAATGACATGGCTCGTCTGGTCTTTACAGAGAAGGAACAAAATTCCTACGATCCCAGGAAGTATAAGGTAAGAGTTCCTCAAATGTACAAGAACCTTAAGAAAAGGGTTTACCTATTCCCTATCTACCGCTTCCAGGTAGTCCACAAGAATCACTGGCGTCAGGTTAGTCTGCGTTTGGCGCCCACGCAGAAAAAATGGTGGGAGGATCCAGATGTTATTGTTGCGTGAGTATTTACCATATAATATCAAGCGGTTGGGCATAATGTGTGGGGTTTGTGGCGTGCCGGCAATAACATTAAAACTCAATGGACTGACTCATTGATAATCAATGCATAGCCCAAACCGTCAGAGCTAATAAGCTGCACTTTGCACAGTGGCTGGCTTTTGATGCCCATCGTTAGTACTGATCCTTACGAGTCGAAAATGGTATAAAATTCCAAAATCGGACATTATTTGGCCGAGATATACCAAAAAATCGTCAAAAACGGCTGACATTACAAACACATCGGTTTTTGGTCAACAACTTTTTCGAACCCATCGATTTTTAATTTCTTTGAATGCAAATTGATAGTAGGGATCCGTACGAATGTAAAAAGGTATAATATTTCAAAATCAGGCGGTATTTACCCGAGATATTAAAAAAAAAATCATCAAAAAAGTTTCAATTTTTGAACCGACCCCGATTTTGAAAAAAAACGTGATGTAACCCCTTGCCTTTTTTTCGATTTGGGTCAAAATTTAAATTTTCAGTGTTTTGATGCCAATTGATAGTACTGATCCTTACGAGTCGAAAATGGTATAAAATTCCGAAATCGGACATTATTTGGCCGAGATATACCAAAAAATCGTCAAAAAAGGACTACAAACGAAACGAGTGCTGTCTCTTTAAAATACCAAAAACTCGATTTCAGCTGCGCCCATGGGCAATATTAAATAGCAAGCGATCACTATTCATGGTACCTAGTTGACCTATATATCCTTGGTTATTCCATATCATGGGTATAGTCCTAGCGAAGACCAAAATGTATATGCTTTTCTTTTCAGCACGCCCCTCGATACAGTGCCGCCTCCCTGGATGGTTTCTAGTTGACTAGCATATCCTTGGTTATACCATACCATTGATATAGTCCTTGAAAACCTAAAGGATCAGATCGCAGCAAAATGTGCATTGCAATGGTCCAAAAACATGTATGATTTTTCTTTCAGGAGCCCTTTTACATTCGCTGCAGCTGCAGCTTAGTTCAAAGCACTCGTCGACCTTCTGTGCATTTCTGTTCGCCTGGTATTTTAGCAGATTTTAAGAAAAATTTCGGAAGCCAGCGGTTTCCAAAAACGCTACTAACGGGTATTCAATAGGTTTCTAAATACCGTTCATTTTTGAAGTTGTAAATAAAAAACAGGAGTTTTCTGTTTTATTTGAAATAACTGATTTATTTATGTTTGAATTTACAAAATTGTTTTTATTAAAATTTTTTTAAATTAATTAAAGTGCGATCCTGGAAAATCAGCTTTGTCACTTGTGAAAGTCCTTAGAGCTCGTTGCAGTCCTTAATTTGACAGTCTGAAAAGATAAAAATACATTTAAATTAAGGCAAAAGGCAAGGCAAAAAATATATAAACCCATTTTATGTCAAGAAAAAAGTCCATAACTCGGTCATTTTAGGTATCCGTACGAATTTAAAAAGGTATAAAATTTCAAAATCAGGCGGTATTTAGTCCGCGCGGAGATATGACGTTCCAAAACGACATAACTCCGTGCGGAGCTATAAAAAGGTATAAAATTTCAAAATCAGGCGGTATTTAGTCCGCGCGGAGATATGACGTTCCAAAACGACATAACTCCGCTGGAGATATGACGTTCCAAAACGACATAACTCCGCTGGAGATATGACGTTCCAAAACGACATAACTCCGCTGGAGATATGACGTTCCAAAACGACATAACTCCGCTGGAGATATGACGTTCCAAAACGACATAACTCCGCTGGAGATATGACGTTCCAAAACGACATAATTCCGCTGGAGATATGACGTTCCAAAACGACATAATTCCGCTGGAGATATGACGTTCCAAAACGGCATAACTCCGCTGGAGATATGACGTTCCAAAACGGCATAACTCCGCTGGAGATATGACGTTCCAAAACGGCATAACTCCGCTGGAGATATGTACGAATGTAAAAAGGTATATTTCAAAATCGGGCGGTATTTACCCGAGATATTAAAAAAAATCATCAAAAAAGTTTCAATTTTTGAACCGACCCCGATTTTGAAAAAAAACGTGATGTAACCCCTTTCCTTTTTTATCGATTTGGGTCAAAATTTAAATTTTCAGTGTTTTGATGCCAATTGATAGTACTGATCCTTACGAGTCGAAAATGGTATAAAATTCCAAAATCGGACATTATTTGGCCGAGATATACCAAAAAATCGTCAAAAAAGGCTGACATTACAAACACATCGGTTTTTGGTCAACAACTTTTTTGAACCCATCGATTTTTAATTTCTTTGAATGCAAATTGATAGTAGGGATCCGTACGAATGTAAAAAGGTATAATATTTCAAAATCAGGCGGTATTTACCCGAGATATAAAAAAAAATTCATGAAAAAAGTTTCAATTTCTGAACCGATCCCGATTTTGAAAAAAAACGTGATGTAACCCCTTGCTTTTTTTTCGATTTGGGTCAAAATTTAGATTTTCAGTGTTTTGATGCCAATTGATAGTACTGATCCTTACGAGTCGAAAATGGTATAAAATTCCAAAATCGGACATTATTTGGCCGAGATATACCAAAAAATCGTCAAAAAAGGCTGACATTACAAACACATCGGTTTTTGGTCAACAACTTTTTTGAACCCATCGATTTTTAATTTCTTTGAATGCAAATTGATAGTAGGGATCCGTACGAATGTAAAAAGGTATAATATTTCAAAATCAGGCGGTATTTACCCGAGATATTAAAAAAAAATCATCAAAAAAGTTTCAATTTTTGAACCGACCCCGATTTTGAAAAAAAACGTGATGTAACCCCTTGCTTTTTTTTCGATTTGGGTCAAAATTTAGATTTTCAGTATTTTGATGCCAATTGATAGTACTGATCCTTACGAGTCGAAAATGGTATAAAATTCCAAAATCGGACATTATTTGGCCGAGATATACCAAAAAATCGTCAAAAATGGCTGACATTACACACACATCGGTTTTTGGTCAACAACTTTTTTGAACAAATCGATTTTTAATTTCTTTGAATGCAAATTGATAGTAGGGATCCGTACGAATGTAAAAAGGTATAATATTTCAAAATCAGGCGGTATTTACCCGAGATATTAAAAAAAAAATCATCAAAAAAGTTTCAATTTTTGAACCGACCCCGATTTTGAAAAAAAACGTGATGTAACCCCTTGCTTTTTTTTCGA